TAGGTGTGAGGTGAGTCTTGCGCACGCAAGAGAGGGCGTATGATTTTTGAGGCGCCTCAAAAATAGAAGGTGTGAGGTGAGTCTTGCGCACGCAAGAGGGGAGTATGATTTTTGAGGCGCCTCAAAAATAGAAGGTGTGAGGTGAGTCTTGCGCACGCAAGAGAGGGCGTATGATGAAGGGACGACGAGCAGGAAACGGAGGCATGCCGGGTTGACGACATTCTGATAGGGGACATGGCAGCTTCATCACCCCCCCCACCATGCAAGCATGGCGTGCAAGCAAGCATGGCGTGCAAGCATGGCACGCAAGCATGGCGTGCAAGCAAGCATGGCGTGCAAGCATGGCGTGCAAGCATGGCGTGCAAGCATGGCACGCAATGCAAGCACCCCCACAAGAAATAAGATCCACGCTACACCACCACCAGCGAAGGCAACACTCACTACTGCGAGCCCACCAGGGAAGACAATGCCGAGTGGTTCCTCCTTGTCCTCGGAGGGGGGCTGGCAGGGCCAGGGGGTGATGGAGAAGAGAAGAAAGAGGGTGGACAGGAATCTGAGGCAGAGAGGAAAACTCGAGAGCTTTTCCTGGGCGCCTCAAAAATAGACTCCTTGGACGGGGGCTGGCAGGGCAGGGCCAGGGGTGATGGAGAACAATGGCATGAGAGAGGACAATGGCATGAAAACTCCTTGGAGGAAGGGATGATGTGCTGAGGCAGCAGGTAAAGCTTGAAAGCTTCAGGCAACAGATTCCAAGATCGCGCGGAGCTAAAAGAGCAGAAGCGTTGAGACCAAGAGGTGACTGTTGAGACCAAGAGGTGACTGTTGAGACCAAGAGGTGACTGTTGAGACCAAGAGGTGACTGTTGAGACCAAGAGGTGACTGTTGAGACCAAGAGGTGACTGTTGAGACCAAGAGGTGACTGTTGAGACCAAGAGGTGACTGTTGAGACCAAGAGGTGACTGTTGAGTAGATAGCAGCAGCAGATGCTGACAAACTCAAAAGCCATTCTGGGGCGGCAGGGAAGTCCCTGGGAGAAAATCCCGAGACCTCGTGAGCTAAAGAGCGGCACAGCAGCATCGAGACCAAGAGCAATCTTTTAGAATTCTAAAAGAGCAGCACAGCAGCGCTGAGACCAAGAGCGCTTGCTGAGAGCGCCGCATTCCCAACGCATCACAGGGCGACACGTATTACAGAGTGAAGCATCACAGAGTGAAGCATCACAGAGTGAAGCGCAAACCTTGAGCGAGGGCGTGAGGTGTCAGGCGGGGGTCCAGATTCCAGAAGCCTTTTGAGTCGACTCAAAGGTCACCTCGTTACAATGCCATGCGAGCAACACAGTGCAAAGCGCAGAGCAGACCTTGAGCGAGGGCGTGAGCTGCCAGGCAGGGGTCCAGAAGCCAACTCGCTGCGCTGTAGCATTGCGCACGTTGAGCACCTCCGTTGCCTCTGCCTGCACATCGCCATGCGCTGCAAGGGAGATTCTGGAGAGGGGGAGAGGGAGGTGGGGGGGGAGAGAGAGGGGGGTGTCTCAACACGAGTTGCGCACATTGATCACCTCCGTTGCTTCTGCCTGCACGTCGCAATGTGCTGCACATTGAGCTGAGCACCTCCGTTGCTTCTGCCTGCACGTCGTTGCCATGCGGGGGGAATGATTTTGGAGAAGGGGGAGGGGGTGGGGGGTAAGAGGAGGAGTGATGACTCAACAGGAGTTGCGCACATTGGGAACACCTCTGTGGCGTCTGCCTACATGTCGCCATGTGTTGCTGCTCCTTCTTGAACATCGCCATGCAGGGGTTGGGCACCACCTCACTCCCCTCACCTCCGCCTCCTCCTCCTCCCACCCCTACGCTGAACTCATAGGCTCTCTCATGTATGCCATGGTCTCCACCCGCCCAGACCTGACATAACCCCATCAGCGTATTGGCCCGCTTCGTTGGTATCGGCAAGCATGATGCCGTCCACTGGCAAGCGGCCAAGCGTGGCCTCCGCTACCTTCGCGGGACCAAGGACTTCGTCCTTACCCTTGGCGGCCCCTCCCCTCCCCTCCTCACTGGCTACTCTGATTCCTCCTGGGCTGACTCTAGGCTTGACCGCCGCTCTTCCCAGGGCTATGGCTTCTCCTTGGCAGCGGCCTCATCAGCTGGCGCTCCACCCGCTCTTCCTCCATTGCACTCTCCTCCTGCGAAGCAGAGCTGTATGCTGCTACTATGGCCGCGCAGGAGGCTCGCTGGCTCACTTTCCTTCTTGAGGAGCTTGGTGCCCCTCAGCGCTGTCCCACCATCTGGTGCGACACCGCCAGCACCATCCACCTCACGAAGGATGCTGTGTTCCACGGGCGCTCCAAGCACATTGAGCTTCGCCACTACTTCATTCGCGAGCTCGTGCAGGGTGGCCACCTCCAGCTGGGCAAGATTGACTCTGCCGCCAATCTTGCTGACATCTTCACCAAAGCCCTCCCCCATGTCGCCCACTCCTCCCCCTTCGTCTTCTTGGCCTCGCTCCCCCCGTTCCCTCGTCCGCCTCTTGATTCACGAATTCTAGTCTTATGCATGTTGGGGGGTTGTGTTGTAAAATAGATATCTATACAACATGCATGCCTAGATCAGGAGGTGTAGTCATTTATTTATTGGGGGGTTGTTGGTTGGGTTGACTAACCCCACATTTGGGTTGGTCAAGATTGGATTTGGTCTTAGACATTTGGTTGGCACTATTCCAACCAAATGGTCATTGGTCTCAAGACCCAACCAATCACCAAGCACCACACTTTGTGGTTGCTTACCTTCCAAGCAACCTCCCCCATTGGTCCACATTGTGGCCAATCGGAAAGCACTACACTTTGTGGTTGCTTGTCCTCCAAGCTACCTCTCCCATTGGTCTACATTACGGCCAATGGGAGACTTTCCCCTCCATCTCTTCCTTGCTCCAATGTTTGTACAATAGAGCCTCTTGGCTCCCTACTCAAACCATCATTTTCTCCTCAAAGCTAGTTCCTTCAGGGGAAGGGGGAGAGGGGGGGGGACGTCCACAAACGCATTACAGACAATGTGTGTGTTACCCTCTGCAGGTGTGTTACCCTCTGTAGCTGTGTGTTACCCTCTGCAGGTGTATGTTACCCTCTGCAGCTGTGTCATCTAGCAGGTGTTATCTGGCAGGTGTTCTCTAGCAGGTGTTACCTTCCAGTGAGGCCTTCGAAGGAAGTGTTGAGAATGGCTTTGCGGAGGACAGGCCCAACTGCCAGCCAGAGATAAGGGCGAAGGGTGGGGGGGAGGAGAAGCAAGGTGCGAGGCACAGGTGGGAACTGAGTGGCTTTGCGTCAGGGCAGGCCCGACTGCCAACCAGTGTATGTGAAGACAGTAGGGGGGACGGACAAGCAACAGGAGAAGCAACAGGAGAAGCAACAGGGGAAGCAGCAGGAGAAGCAACAGGGGAAGCAGCAGGAGAAGCAACAGGGGAAGCAACAGGAGAAGCAACAGGGGAAGCAACAGGAGAAGCAAGAATCAAGGCACAGGCAGAAATCAGATTGGCGTACGCACAACAGGAGCAGCCAAGCCTGAAAGGCCGGGCGGAAGCCGAAGCATGGAAACTACACCAGCGCACATACACACACAAGACTAGACAGACAGCAAATGGCTCACCGGAGCCGCGATGCAGGTTGTGCAGATGAGGAATGAGGTTGAGAATTCTCAAAAGGTAAGCTGGTTTCTGAGAATTCTCCAAAAGGTAAGCTGGCTTTGTAGAATTCTCAAAAGACAGGAAATGGCTCACTGGAGCTGCGATGCAGGTTGTGCAGAAGTGGAATGAGCCCCCATCGCCCTCCCCGCCCTGCCCTGCTCCCACCGGCAGAACCAACGGCTGCGCTCCCCCTGCTGCTGCTGCAGCAGCAGATGCCTCAGCAGCAGCAACAGGTGCTGCCGCAGCAGCAGCAGCAGATTCCGCAGGTGCAGCAGCAGCAGCAGCAGACGCTGCAGGTGCAGCAATCGCACTCATTCCACTGGCGGCTGTTTCCGACGGCAGGTGAAAGGCGCTGGCACTTGGCAGCTGAGAGACGCTTTTAACGAGTAAAGAGTGTAGAGCTAGGGAGATGAGATAAACGGCATCATAGGCCGCGAGGCTGTAGGTCTTGGGGTCCTCCTCAGCCGCCCCTGGGAACTGCTCTGGGCTGAGCTGCTTCCACCGCTGCTTGAAGGCCGCCAGGCGAGGCGACGGGGGGAGGTAGGAGGCTGTGATTATAAGGCCCTAGGGAATGAGGGGGAGGGAGGGGGAAGGAGAAGGGGGGGAACGGGGGGTTGAAAGATGGGGAGGAGGAAGAGTAAACAGGGGCAGGTAGGGAGTGTCATACCCTGTCGAACTAAACAGCCCCCTCCGATGCTATCCACGCACAACTAGCTGTGTGCCCCTATGCATGCCGTCCCACCTCCCCTTACCTCCCCTCCCCCTTATCTCCGCTCCCCCTTGTCCCCCCTGACCTGTGCACTCTGCAGTGCCAGTGCGTTCCAGCCCCCCCTATCATCTCCACTTGATTATTCTTGGTCGGACGCATACTCTGCTCTGCTCACGGCCTGGCCCCCACTCACCTCTGCATGCTGCAGCGTGGACGTGTTGGCCTGAGCAGCCCCTTCCGATGCTATCCACACGTAGTTCTTCCCTATCATGCCCAGCCTGCTGGCTGTAGTAAAGAGGTGAGGCAATGATGGGGGTTGAGGGGTCAAGGGGAAAGAAATTTGCCATTCTGGCCGTCCCCTCCGATGCTATCCACTCATCGTTCTTCCCCATCATGCTCAGGCAGCCTGCTGGCTGGGTTAGAGGGTGAATGATGGGTTGGGTGTGCAAAGCGATAGAGAATTGCCATTCTGGGATCTCCCCCTTCCCCCCCAACCCTCCGATGCTATCCACTCATAGTTCTTCCCCATCATGCTCAGGCAGCCTGCTGGCTGGGTTAGAGGGTGAATGATGGGTTGGGTGTGCAAAGCGATAGAGAATTGCCATTCTGGGATCTCCCCCTTCCCCCCCAACCCTCCGATGCTATCCACTCATAGTTCTTCCCCATCATGCTCAGGCAGCCTGCTGGCTGGGGTAAAGGGGGAATGATGGGTTGGGTATGCAAAGCGATAGAGAATTGCCATTCTGGGATCTCCCTTCCCCCCCCCTTCCGATGCTATCCACTCATCGTTCTTCCCCATCATGCTCAGGCAGCCTGCTGGCTGGGGTAAAGGGGGAATGATGGGTTGTGTATGCAAAGCGATAGAGAATTGCCATTCTGGGATCTCCCTCCCCCCCCCCCCGATGCTATCCACTCATAGTTCTTCCCCATCATGCGCAGCCAGCCTGCTGGCTGGAGTAAAGAGGGAATGAAGCAAGCTGAGGGGGCAAAGGGATAGGGAATCGCCCTTCTGAGACTCCGTACCATGCCCAGCCTGCCAGCATCTGTCTGGCTGATTTCTGGCACAGTGGACAGCACGGGGGGAGGTGATTTGTGAGTCGACTCGACACGTGGTAGTTCCTTACCATGCCTGGCTTGCTGGCATCTGGCTTCAGGGTTTAGGGTTCTGGCGCACAACTCAGGGGCACAACGCAGAGTTCCGTACCATGTCTGGCTTGCTGGCATCTGTCTGGCTGGTGTGTGGCAGAGTGCATGGCGGGGGGAGGTGATTTCTGAATCGGTTTTTGAGGCGCCTCAAAAACAAACTCAAAAGACACGTGGTAGTTCCTTACCGTTCCCAGCCTGCCGGCATCTGTCTGGTTGGTTTCTGACATAGTGGACGGCACGGGGGGAGGTGATTTGTGAGTCGACTCAAAAGACACGCGGCAGCTCCTTACCATGCCTGGCTTGCTGGCATCTGGCTCCGGGGTTTAGGGTTCTGGCGCACAACTCACGGGCATAACTCAGAGTTCCGTACCATGCCCCACCTGCTGGCTTCTGGCTGGCTGGTGTGTGGCAGAGTGAATAGCACGGTCTTCGGACATTCTTCCAGTGAGCGCAGTCTTAGAAGTCAGTTTAGGCAAGTTAGGAAAACAGTAAAATGCTTGGAGCTGACATAGCCAAGAGTTCGGAAAAAACTGGAGCTCTTCTCCCTAAAATGCTCTTCTCTTAACAACGATTGAAACAGGGGACACACATGTTTCCGTTCGGCTGTTTAGGGAAATCCCTAGCAAGCCTTCATCAGTGCCAATGAGAAAGTTCGAGCAAAGCAAAGCCCCTAAGTAGAAGCTAAGCATCCGTTAAACAAAACTCTAGGTTATCTTCACCCTGGTCGACCCAAAAAATTTGGGGACCAATCCAGGCCATCCTGGCAAAGCCAAGACGCCACGTCGTCAAACCTCGAGGGTGTCTTGACAAGTAGTTGAGCTCGATCCCTCGCCAGTAGGCAGCTTCAGAAGCCGCGTGCGCACCAATCGCTTCAATAAGCTACATTCAATCTTCCAAGCAACAAACAATCTCTCTATATAAAACCCATGCATGAGGAGTCTCTTTTTGAGGCGCCTAAAAAATAGACTCATAACTCAGAGTTCCGTACCATGCCCCACCTGCCGGCTTCTGGCTGGCTGGTGTGTGGCAGAGTGAATGGCACGGGAAGGTACTTTCCGACTCGATTCAAAAGACACGCCGTAGTTCCTTACCATGCCTGGCTCGCTGGCATCTGGCTGGTGTGTGGCAAAGTGATTGGCATGGGGAGGTCAGCTGAAGCAGAGGGCTTTGGTTTGGGGCATCGCCACGCACACACATGTGGTGCTTCCTTATGAGTCGACTCAAAAGGCGGCACGCTGCACACACGTGGTGCTTCCCTTACGAGTCGACTCAAAAGGCGGCACGCTGCACACACGTGGTGCTTCCTTATGAGTCGACTCAAGAGGTGGCACGCTACACACACGTGGTTCTTCCTTATGAGTCGACTCAAAAGGCGGCACGCTGCACACACGTGGTGCTTCCTTACGAGTCGACTCAAAAGGCGGCACGCTGCACACACGTGGTGCTTCCTTATGAGTCGACTCAAGAGGCGGCACGCTACACACACGTGGTGCTTCCTTATGAGTCGACTCAAAAGGCGGCACGCTGCACACACGTGGTGCTTCCTTATGAGTCGACTCAAGAGGCGGCACGCTACACACACGTGGTGCTTCCTTATGAGTCGACTCAAGAGGCGGCACGCTGCACACACGTGGTGCTTCCTTATGAGTTGACTCAAAAGGCAGCACACTGCACACACGTGGTGCTTCCTTACGAGTCGACTCAAAAGGCGGCACGCTGCACACACGTGGTGCTTCCTTACGAGTCGACTCAAAAGGCGGCACGCTGCACACACGTGGTGCTTCCTTATGAGTCGACTCAAAAGGCGGCACGCTGCACACACGTGGTGCTTCCTTATGAGTCGACTCAAAAGGCGGCACGCTGCACACACGTGGTGCTTCCTTATGAGTCGACTCAAAAGGCGGCACGCTGCACACACGTGGTGCTTCCTTACGAGTCGACTCAAAAGGCGGCACGCTGCACACACGTGGTGTTTCCTTATGAGTCGACTCAAAAGGCGGCACGCTGCACACACGTGGTGCTTCCTTATGAGTCGACTCAAAAGGCGGCATGCTGCACACACGTGGTTCTTCCTTATGAGTCGACTCAAAAGGAGGCACACAGCACACACGTGGTGCTTCCTCATAATGCCGGCCTGCTCACTGGTGCATGCGTGGCAGAGCGAATGGCATGGGGAGGTCGACTCAAGCAGAGGGGTTTGATTTGGGGCATCTAAGGCGGCACGTCGCAAACGTGGTAGCTCCTTATAATGCCCGGCAGGCTTGCTGGTGCGTGGCAGAGCGAATGGCATGGGGAGGTCGACTCAAGCAGAGGGGTTTGATTTGGGGCATCTAAGGCGGCACGTCGCAAACGTGGTAGCTCCTTATAATGCCCGCCCGGCTTGCTGGTGCGTGGCAGATCGAATGGCATGGGGAGGTGGCAAAGGGAGGCAGTTTCCTCCCAGCATTCATCAAGCGGACTTGTATCCAACATGCATGTAGCGAGAGTACCTGTATAGAGTTTGCCTGTATCACGTATACATGCATCAAATTTCCCTGCATCGAGTGTACCTGTATTGAGTTAACCTGTATCGAGTGTACCTGTATCGAGTATGAGAGCAGACATGGTAGAGGAGGCGTGCAGCACATAGACGGCAGAATCCACCACCTTGCTGGCAGCCAGAGCCTGCGCCACGTCATCAGCTGTCCACGTGGACTTGACAGGTACCCTTTGAGCGATGCGCACATTCCAAGCCTTTCGAGTGCAGGCGAGGGGGAGGGGAAAAGAGGGGGGGGGGGGGAGGGGGAGGAGAGGAAGGGGGGGGAGAAAGGCGAAAGGGGGGAAGGCGAAAGGGGGGAGGCGAAGGCTTTATGAGAGGCTGTGGGTTGCAGGTAGCACAGCACAGATACCCTTCTCTTTGCACGATGCACACATCGAAAGCCACCGCAGCAGAAACAGCAGACGCAGCAGGCCAACACAGAGCAGTGAAGGTAGCGCAGGTGCCCTTTGGTGCGGTTTTGAGGCGCCTCAAAACTAGGTAGCGCAGGTGCCCCTTTGGTGCGGTTTTGAGGCGCCTCAAAACTAGGTAGCGCAGGTGCCCCTTTGGTGCGGTTTTGAGGCGCCTCAAAACTAGGTAGCGCAGGTGCCCTTTGGTGCGGTTTTGAGGCGCCTCAAAACTAGGTAGCGCAGGTGCCCCTTTGGTGCGGTTTTGAGGCGCCTCAAAACTAGGTAGCGCAGGTGCCCCTTTGGTGCGGTTTTGAGGCGCCTCAAAACTAGGTAGCGCAGGTGCCCTTTGGTGCAGTTTTGAGGCGCCTCAAAACTAGGTAGCGCAGGTGCCCCTTTGGTGCGGTTTTGAGGCGCCTCAAAACTAGGTAGCGCAGGTGCCCCTTTGGTGCGGTTTTGAGGCGCCCCAAAACTAGGTAGCGCAGGTGCCCCTTTGGTGCGGTTTTGAGGCGCCTCAAAACTAGGTAGCGCAGGTGCCCCTTTGGTGCGGTTTTGAGGCGCCTCAAAACTAGGTAGCGCAGGTGCCCTTTGGTGCGGTAGGCCTTTCGAGCGCAGGCGAAGGGAAGGGAAGGGGGGGGATAGACTTGAGCATTTTGACCCAACATGACCCGACATTTTGGCTGGGTCGGGTAATAGGATTTTGACGAATTACCCGGCCGGGTCGGGTCGGGTACTCGGGCCGGGTAATGCATACCCGTTACCGGAGAATTACCCGAAATGTCAGGTAATTTATTACCCGTCGGGTCGCGGGTATCCGACCCGACTTTGGGTTTGTTACTCCGGGTTTGCTGAATTTTACAGCCACCTAGGGGTACCCGGGTAATATTACCCGACTTCAGTTAAATGCGGGTCGGGTATACCCGACCCGCCAGACGGGTACCCAATTACACGGTATTAAAATGCCGGGCCGGGTAACAGACCTCCAAAAATTACCCAGAAATTACCCGACCCGACCCGACCCGGACCCGATTGCGGGTAGGACAAAACCGGGTCGGGTCGGGTAATTACCCGGTTTTGCTCATGTCTAGGGGGGGAGGTCAAGAAGGGGAGCGGACAATGCCGCGTCATCCAGATAGGTACTCGCCGCTATGTGATGCGCACATGCCAGGCATTTTATACCTTGGGTACTTTTGAGGCGCCTCAAAAGCGATGCGCACATGCCAGGCATTTTGTACCTTGGGGTACTTTTGACGCGCCTCAAAAGCGATGCGCACATGCCAGGCATTTTGTACTTTGGGTACTCGCCGTACTCTCGCAAGGAGGCATGCCTGCCATGAGCGCAGTGTTGATGCTGTTGCGATTGCGAGCAGCTGTTAGTGACTCGATACCAAGCAGCGGCTTGTGAGGAAATTTGAGCCTGTGGAGAATTCGAGACGTGCTTGTAAGCGTATCGGCACCTTGCTGGAGAGGAGGTAGGTCACAAGTGGGTTTTGCTTTTGATCATTCTCAAAAACAAAACACATCCTTGCTGGAGAGGAGGTAGGTCATGAGTGCAGTGATGCCGTTGTAATTGTGAGTAGCTGTAGTGACTCAGTACCAAGCAGCGGCTTGTGAGTAAATCGAAACGTGCTTGTGAGCATCTCGTACCTTGCTGGCGAGGAGGTACTTCATGAGCGCAGTGATGCCGTTGCAATGCAATAGTGAGTAGCTGCTAGTGATTCAGTACCAAGCAGTGCTGGTGAGTGAGTGTGTGCACCTTGCTCGCGAGGAGGTACGACATTAGCGCAGTGATACCGTTGCGGCCGAAACGATTGTCAGTATAGACTGCAACGAACTCCCTCCACTTGTACTTGAGGAGCAGCGCTGCAGCGGGAGAGGGCGAACCCGGGAGAGAGAAACGGAATGGAGAGAAAGCGAATGGCCGGCATGTCACCTGCAATGGCCGGCATGTCACCTGAAATGGCCTGCATGTTGACACCATAGTTGGGAATGGTCCTCACGAAGTGCAGCCAGCTCCCTCCCACTGTCAGACACTTTTGAGATGGTACAACCATATCTGCATGCACAACATAACCTTTCTCTCACCTGCAATGGCCTCCATGTCGACGCCGTCGTTGGGAATGGTCCTCACGAAGTGCAGCCGGCTCCCTCCCACACAGAGAAATGATAATTCTAAAAAACCTGTGGTTGCCTACATACAACCATGTCTGCATGCATGCATCGCCTTGTTTGCACCTGCAACGGCCTGCATGTTGATGCCGTCATTGGGAATGAGGAGACTTCTGCATCGACTCTCCAGTCACCCTGTTCTCACCTGCAATGGCCTGCATGTTGACGCCATCATTGGGAATGGTCCTCATGAAGTAGGGCCGGGTGCCTCCCACCGTCAGCTGCACGTCTGTTGCTGCCGCCGACACAAAGGGGGTCTGAAAGGATTGGATGTACGAAGGGGGTGAGGAGGGGGGGGGGGGGGGTTGGAAAGTGGAGGAAGGGAGATAGGGGCCGGCGATCGGCTCCCACCGTGAGCTGCACGTCCGTTGCTGCCGAAACAAAGGGCGTTTGAAGGGAATGAAAGGTGGGAGCATGGCAGGATTGGGGCAGCGTGGAGGAGCGCGAGGGGGAAGAAAGGGGGGGGGGAGAAAAGGGGGGTGGAGAAAAAAAGGGGGGGAGAGGTGGATGAACGGATGGTGGCAGGGAGGGAGGGTTGGAGGGCGAAGGGGGGGTAAAGGTTTTAGATAAGGCAGCATGGGGCGATGGGATCATGGGACAGACAATGTTCTTCTTGAGTCGGCTTCTTGAGCCGACTTCTTGAGTCAACTTAGCAAGGCAGCATGGATTGGCTTATTGGGTGGCAGTGGCGCGACGGCTGACGATGCTCTTCTTGAGTCGACTCAAAAGCAGGCCTTTTCAGGTCGATTCGAGGCTTTGGATGAGGCAGCTTGGATCAGCTTATTGAGTGGCACTGGCGAGATGGCTGACAAGGCTTTCCAGACGTCTCGGCTCGGCGTATGTACGGGTTTGCTTACTTGAGTGGCAGTAGCAAGCGGGCTGACTAGCGCTGCTTGGTCGGAAGTACCCGGGCCTATGACTGCCACTGGCCGCTGCTGCACTGTTGCTATGGCTGCAGGGGCAATGGGAGAGGAATGGGGAGAGGAATGGGGAGAAGAATGGAGAGAAGAATGGGGAGAGGAATGGGGAGAGGAATGGGGAGAGGAATGGGGAGAGCAAGAAGAGGGAGAGGAATTGGGAGAGGAATGGAGAGAGGAATGGGAGAGGAATGGGGAGAGGAATGGAGAGAGGAATGGGGAGAGGAATGGGAGAGGAAAGGGGAGAGGAATGGAGAGAGGAATGGAGAGAGCAAGAAGAGGGAGAGGAGAGAAATCAGGGAAGAGGGCAGGCGAACAGCACCCGGCTAATCAGAGGCACCCGGGCCTATGCCTGCCCTGCCCAATGGCTGTTGCTGCACTGCCGCTGTGGCTCCAGGGGCACTGGTAGCGGAAGAGAGAGAGAGAGAGAGACACACACACAGGGGCCAGGAGGCTCTTCAATGCGGACCCCAGTTCTTACCAAGCAGCCAAACTACTCCACCAGTTCCGCCAGCGATGGTCGGTGACGCATCAGCGGGAGCAGGCCTTGGCTTACCTGGGCAAAGTCAACGAAGCCTCCCCTGCCGACATGGCTCTGGGGGACTGCTTTGCCGTGGCAGAGCCCCTAGGGGAGCTCGAGTAGGCTAGGGCCCCTCCAACCAGCACGTACCTTGCCTCGTTGTCATCCGCCTGCCTAGTTTGTACCCAGGGTTCGAAAAATAAACGGACCGCTTGAGAGAGAGAGAGCTTTCATGAGATGAACGCAGGGAGGAGTGAAGGGAGAGGAAAAGGGGAGGGGAACAAAGGCAGGGTGCATAGAGAGGGATGGGGGAAGTGACTTTTGAGTCTTGACTTTTGAATCTTGACTTTTGAGTCTTGACTTTTGAGTCTTGACTTTTGAGTCGACTCAAAAGTCATCTCGAGAGGAAAAGGGGAGGGGAACAAAGGCAGGGTGCAAAGAGAGGGATGGGGGAAGTGCAACGGAGAGGAGGGACGAGGGCAAACAGTCGGGCTGGTGGCTGGTGCTGCGTCAGCGCCTGCCTACCTGCCAGCTGGCTGAGCGTGGACGGCGAGCTGGCACTGATGTTGCCGATGACTAGGCGGATGCGCTGACGTGGCAGGATGGTGGGGTCGCTGTTGACGTCAGCAACAGCCATGGTGATCGCTGGATAAGGAGAACGGGAAGGCGGGGGGGCAGGGAAGGGAGTGGAATGAGGTCGCCTTGTTGTTGTTTTTTTAAGGCGCCTCAACAATAGACTCCTCACGCACGGCCATGGTGATCCCTGGAAAGCCAAGCATGGGAAGGCGAGGAGGCAGGGAATGGAATGAGGTCGCTTTTGAGGCGCCTCAAAACTAGGCGAGGAGGCAGGGGAACGGAAAGAAGGTTTGAGAGGAATGGGATAGGAAGTTTTGAGGCAAGGATGAAGTTTTGAAGCATGGGAAGGCGAGGAGGCAGGGAATGGAATGAGGTCGCTTTTGATTCGACTCAAAAGTCAGCAAGGGATGAAATGGCCGGCAAGTGGAAGGGCATGGAAGGAGGGGGGGGGGAAGGAGAGGGAAGGGCATGGAAGGAGGGGGAGGGGAAGGAGAGGGAAGGGCATGGAAGAGGGGGGAGAGGGTGGAAGAGAGGTGGGGTCGGGAGGAGAGAATAGGCATGCGAGGGGAAGGGGAGGAGACGGATCGGGAAGGATGGGGGTTGGGGCCACGCTGTTGGCGTCCGCAACTGATGGTGGAAAGATGGGATGTGCGGTGAGAGGAGGGGCGAGAGACGGGATGTGCGGTGAGAGGAAGGGGCGAGAGACGGGATGTGCGGTGAGAGGAAGGGGCGAGAGACGGGATGTGCGGTGAGAGGAAGGGGCGAGAGACGGGATGTGCGGTGAGAGGAAGGGGCGAGAGACGGGATGTGCGGTGAGAGGAAGGGGCGAGAGACGGGATGTGCGGTGAGAGGAAGGGGCGAGAGACGGGATGTGCGGTGAGAGGAAGGGGCGAGAGACGGGATGTGCGGTGAGAGGAAGGGGCGAGAGACGGGATGTGCGGTGAGAGGAAGGGGCGAGAGACGGGATGTGCGGTGAGAGGAAGGGGCGAGAGACGGGATGTGCGGTGAGAGGAAGGGGCGAGAGACGGGATGTGCGGTGAGAGGAAGGGGCGAGAGACGGGATGTGCGGTGAGAGGAAGGGGCGAGAGACGGGATGTGCGGTGAGAGGAAGGGGCGAGAGACGGGATGTGCGGTGAGAGGAAGGGGCGAGAGACGGGATGTGCGGTGAGAGGAAGGGGCGAGAGACGGGATGTGCGGTGAGAGGAAGGGGCGAGAGACGGGATGTGCGGTGAGAGGAAGGGGCGAGAGACGGGATGTGCGGTGAGAGGAAGGGGCGAGAGACGGGATGTGCGGTGAGAGGAAGGGGCGAGAGACGGGATGTGCGGTGAGAGGAAGGGGCGAGAGACGGGATGTGCGGTGAGAGGAAGGGGCGAGAGACGGGATGTGCGGTGAGAGGAAGGGGCGAGAGACGGGATGTGCGGTGAGAGGAAGGGGCGAGAGATGGGATGTGAGGTGAGAGGAAGGGGCGAGAGACGGGATGTGAGGTGAGAGGAAGGGGCGAGAGATGGGATGTGAGGTGAGAGGAAGGGGCGAGAGATGGGGTGTGAGGTGAGAGGAAGGGGCGAGAGATGGGATGTGAGGTGAGAGGAAGGGGCGAGAGATGGGGTGTGAGAGAGGAAGGGGCGAGAGATGGGTGTGAGGTGAGAGGAAGGGGCGAGAGATGGGATGTGAGGTGAGAGGAAGGGGCGAGAGATGGGATGTGCGGTGAGAGGAAGGGGCGAGAGATGGGATGTGCGGTGAGAGGAAGGGGCGAGAGATGGGATGTGCGGTGAGAGGAAGGGGCGAGAGACGGGATGTGCGGTGAGAGGAAGGGGCGAGAGATGGGATGTGCGGTGAGAGGAAGGGGCGAGAGATGGGGTGTGAGGTGAGAGGAAGGGGCGAGAGATGGGATGTGAGGTGAGAGGATGGGGCGAGAGATGGGGTGTGAGGTGAGAGGAAGGGGCGAGAGATGGGATGTGAGGTGAGAGGAAGGGGCGAGAGATGGGATGTGAGGTGAGAGGAAGGGGCGAGAGATGGGGTGTGAGGTGAGAGGAAGGGGCGAGAGATGGGGTGTGAGGTGAGAGGAAGGGGCGAGAGATGGGGTGTGAGGTGAGAGGAAGGGGCGAGAGATGGGATGTGAGGTGAGAGGAAGGGGCGAGAGATGGGATGTGCGGTGAGAGGAAGGGGCGAGAGATGGGATGTGCGGTGAGAGGAAGGGGCGAGAGATGGGATGTGCGGTGAGAGGAAGGGGCGAGAGACGGGATGTGCGGTGAGAGGAAGGGGCGAGAGACGGGATGTGCGGTGAGAGGAAGGGGCGAGAGATGGGATGTGCGGTGAGAGGAAGGGGCGAGAGAGGGGTGTGAGGTGAGAGGAAGGGGCGAGAGATGGGATGTGAGGTGAGAGGATGGGGCGAGAGATGGGGTGTGAGGTGAGAGGAAGGGGCGAGAGATGGGATGTGAGGTGAGAGGAAGGGGCGAGAGATGGGATGTGCGGTGAGAGGAAGGGGCGAGAGATGGGGTGTGAGGTGAGAGGAAGGGGCGAGAGATGGGGTGTGAGGTGAGAGGAAGGGGCGAGAGATGGGATGTGAGGTGAGAGGACGGGGTGAGAGACGGGATGTGGAGGAGGGGGTGTGGAGATGGGATGCGGAGATGGGATGTGGAGATGGGATGTGGAGGAGGGGAAGGGTGGCTGTTATTGTAGTCATCACCTGCGAGCATGTTCATTCATGCCGTCTTGCACCTCACCTGCGAGCATGTTCATGCCGTCTTGCACCTCACCTGCGAGCATGTTCATGCCGTCTCGCACCTCACCTGCGAGCATGTTCATGCCGTCTTGCTCCTCACCTGCGAGCATGTTCGTGCCGTCTTGCACCTCACCTGCGAGCATGTTCGTGCCGTCTTGCGAGTAGGTCGGGATCAGACACCCCAGGGTCACTTCCTCCCGCGCCCGCCCATCCGCACCAACTTCCTGCGCCGCGCGAATCTCGCCGCGCTCCCCACCGCTAGCACCGGCGGCGAGCGCGCTGCTGAGCCCGCCGCCACCTGCGCTGACTTTCCCTGAGCGGGATCTCGTACTCGGTGACTTTTGAGTCGACTCAAAAGGCACCACGTTCCCTGAGGGGGATCTCGTACTCGGTGACTTTTGAGTCGACTCAAAAGGCACCACGTTCCCTGAGGGGGATCTCGTACTCGGTGACTTTTGAGTCGACTCAAAAGGCACCACGTTCCCTGAGGGGGATCTCGTACTCGGTGACTTTTGAGTCGACTCAAAAGGCACCACGTTCCCTGAGGGGGATCTCGTACTCGGTGACTTTTGAGTCGACTCAAAAGGCACCACGTTCCCTGAGGGGGATCTAGTACTCGGTGACTTTTGAGACGACTCAAAAGGCACCACGTTCCCTGAGGGGGATCTAGTACTCGGTGACTTTTGAGACGACTCAAAAGGCACCACGTTCCCTGAGGGGGATCTAGTACTCGGTGACTTTTGAGACGACTCAAAAGGCACCACGTTCCCCGAGGGGGATCTCGAACCTTCACTGAGTATCGTCTCTCGCGGTATCGCGCCACGATCAATTTGGGAGCGAATAGAGCGCAACGGGCGCCATGATCCGCCGCGGGGGCAGCGTGCGGAAAGTAGGCCCGTAGGGCGGAAGATCGCCGGAAGTGCGCTGCGTATTCAGGAGAACTCGAAGAATCGGAGCGAGATAGTAGCGGTGGTAAAAGCAGTAGTACTAGGTAAAGTAGCGTGATTCGCGGGGGCCAAGGGAGATGGGGCAGAGTCCGGCAGAGGCCGCTCGCTCGCGGATAAAGCGAGCGGGTACGCGTGCAAGTTGGAAACGGGAAATCTCCAGCTCCACTGGAAAGCGAAAGGCGAGACGCGGCGGATTCCTCGTGACTTTTGAGTCGACTCAAAAGTCCACTGGAAAGCGAAAGGCGCGACGCGGCGGATTCCTCGGAGGAGGAGGAGGCCGGATAAGGTCCTTCTGCCTGTGGCTTGTGACGATCATTATGGCGCGCCGGACAAGGTACTACTACTGTCCGAATGTAATGAGTCGATTTTTGATGTAATGTCCGAAGGTGCCTTGAAGGTACCGGCCCGGGCCCAAGTCTATCATCGATTGATGCCGGATCTATCATGACCATCGCAACGGCGGTGCGGGCGAGGTCCATAGTCGGTGAAATGAGGTTTGCAGGTTAGCCGTCGGGACTCCGAGTCCGAGTCGTCATGGGATGGTGGGGTCACGGTGGATACTAGGAGTAAAACGCGGCGCCGGGGAGCGGACATGAGAGAGCGACGACGACGACGGCGGCGGCGTCGGCAGCGGCGGTGATTGCAGCGTTATTTTTTTATCCTCAGGACAAGAAAGGGTGCGCCGGACATGAGTGAGCGACAACGACGGCAGAGCAGAGGCCGCCGCTCAGTTCTCCTTCTACTTGGTTAGTAGTTGGTTGGGATGTCGTTCTGGCCCGGCAAGGTCCAAGAGCGGCGCGGACCCACTTAGGTTGCAGCGGACCGTAGTAGTAGTACAGTACACGTGATGTGGTGGATGCATCGGGAAATATTATGGAACAGGATGGATGGTGGAGGAAGTAATTTACGGTCCTAACCACACTCGGGATTATGGCGGCCAACGACTGTTGTGAATCTCTCGTCTCCATGAGCAGATTCGTGTGAATCGTGGGGTATTCGAAGCAGCTCCCTCCATCCACCCCAGTCCAGAGTGGGAGAGAAACAGCATCTGGACTCGACTGTGGAGACATCTTCCCCCGCTCTAACCAAAACAACTGAAGGGAAAGACAAATGGCTCCCTGCACAGTTCGGAACTCGGGGTGTGTCATAGAGTTCAACTACCATTTAAACCGTACCCAAACGTAGAACTACTCGCTCAACCTCCCACCGAAAGTGTGCACAGGAACTCTAATTGTGTCTGTACTGTACGTGCAAATAAAGCCAACTACTGTAGTCTAGAGTCTTTGCGAGAGTCGCTTGTCCTTGCTGGCTCTCGCGAAACTCGTCAAAACAACTCGGGTTTTTAGATTAACGGTAACCCTTACTAGCGTTTTACTCTCTGGGGTAACGTTTACCCCTATTACAGAAGGGTTTCTTGCTGTTCCAACCCCCGAGGGGCAATTTTTTGTTCTTCGAGGTTAGTCCCCTCCACAGCGAACCACGTGTCACAATCTCGTTGCTCCGTCACTGTACTTTTCACTTGGCAAATTCGCCACACCCCTCCTTGTCTTCTTGTTCCGAAGCCATCCAGTGAGGTGGGTGGCTCTACAGCGCGCTGTTACACAGCCTTACTGTTGCGTCAAATCTCCAGATCTCCTGCCAGCACGTCAGCCAACTCTACCTCTTGATATACGCCGGCCGATACATACAAGAGTAGGTTAGCATATATGCATGAAATATGTTGCATATAATTGCCTCAAGTTAAGAGACCACATTTCCTCATTCCCTTTTGCTGAAATAACTTCACCTAGTGCATTTGCAGTGTCTCAGTCCTGTTTAAAACTTATAGAATAACAAGGATATCGCTATCACACCCTCCTTGATCTTGGGTGTCTTGTGAAACACAACGCATGACTTTTACAATGCTCCGCAACAACATATTGTCATCGATATGAGGAAAACTGTTTTCATCCTAAAAAATAATAAACATGTATAAAACCCCACAAAATTATAGAAACATTACTCGTTTGCTATGGACCATGTGATTAAGACCAACATTTTATTTTAAAAAGACGTTATCTTGCTTTAGATGGAACCAAAATATTGAAAACAAGTGTACATGTTTCCTGTTTGACGCATTAATGTCAATAAAATTGTGGACTTGATGGAAACAAATATCGATCATTTGATTTCCAACATTTCTTGTACTCCTTTTTTTTGGTTAACGAGAAAAAAAAACGCAAACTATCCATCTATCGCTTCCCTAGTGCTAGCATTGGGGGGAAGTCAATAGAGTAGTGACGAAACAACACAATTCGTGAATTCCAAAAGAATATTTTGCACTCATCACCTTCCTTTCGAATAACTATACTCTTAGAGCGTGTCAAGCACCGTATATGAAGTACTTTTTGAAAAACACAAAATGAAGTGCATAAGAAGAAGAGAAGGGTAAAATCAAGATAGAGTCTACAGAAAAACATGGAACACAAACAGAGCAATTAACCGGAATAACAGCTGTCCCCTACAAAAGTCCACAATTCAAAACTAGAATCACCTTCCAAAAACATTCATGAACCCAGAAAAAATAAAAAAAGGAATAATAGAAGAGTAGGGAAAAGAGACGTTATTGGCCGATTATGACTATTAACGATAATAAAGAGTCCAGAGTATGAGAAGCAGTGGGGATACAGGTCAAAACGGAAAAAGTGAGAGATTGAGAGAGAGAGAGAGAGAGAGAGAGAGAGAGAGAGAGAGAGAGAGAGAGAGAGAGAGAGAGAGAGAGAAAGAGAGAGAGAGAGAGAGAGAGAGAGAGAGAGAGAGAGAGAGAGAGAGAGAGAGAGAGAGAGAGAGAGAGAGGAGGGGGGTTGAGAGCTGGAGCAGTGAGAGGAAAGACGAAGGGAGGGAAAAGGAGGGGGAAAGACAACGGGAGGGTTTAGGGAAGGGGAAAGGACAAGGGGAGGTAAATCAGAAAGGGAGAGACAAAGGGACCAATAGAGGGGAACGGAGGGGGAACGACAAAGGGGGAGTGACGGAGTGGGAGAGAAAAAGGAAGAGGATCAGAGGGTGCCATACAAAATAGGGGAAGAACGGATGAGAGAAGAAAGTGTGGGGGAAGAACGGACAAGGGGAGAACGGAGGGGGGAGAACGGACGGGGGGATATCGGACGGGGGAGAACGGACGGCAGTGAGTACGTTCGTGGGAAGAACGGATGTGGGAAGAACGGACGGCAGGGAGAACGGATGGCGAGAGAGCGGATGGAGGAAGAACGGACATGCAACAACAAAGTTAGGTGCGCATGAATAGAAGAGAATGGGAAACTATGAATATTACAAAACGTAACTAACGAGATCAATAAAAGGCTCGGGAAACAAAAGCCGTTATTCCAGAAGGGGAAGGCGAAGCGGGGAAAGAGAAGAGAGAACGGGGAAATGAACAAACAGGAACAAACAAATGTGCGAATGCTAAAGAAAGTAATCAGGTGAGGAAACAAAACGCAAGCAACAGGGTATGCTCGATCACCTGAGCTACCCCCAGGTCACATTGCAGTTGTTTTGGTTCATGCATTAGAGGAATACGTTCTTTTTAGTCTCTCTTGTTGGAAGGTTGGAAAGCAGGAGGGCCTGGTGTTGTGCGACATACCACCGGATGGAAAAATTTCCCTTTTAGTTAACAAAAATCGCCAGCAATGTTTTTTTCTTAGAATAGAAACGTGTAACTAAGGTGAGATGGTACAAGGGTATATAGCTTAAGAGGTTGTACTCTTTTTAAACATGCACCTAGGTAGCCTATAACATGTACAAATTGCATGTTGATACACCCCCTAGGCTAGACAAGGGGCAGCGACTAGCACGAGACACACAGCTCAGGGTGGCACTGCAATGTTTAAAATCAGGAAGGCCAAGCCCTTTGCAAGACGTAGCGCCAGTTCGAAATTGGGCATTAGAACTTTTTGCAAATCTCTACCTGTAAATGTGCCCCACCCAATCCCCCCCTCTCCCTCCGATCATGATAAGAATACCACTAGTATGTGTTCAAGCCCTTGTAGATGATTAGGTCATACACTAGACTTGTAGACACATTTGTTTACCACGGCCTATTCAAAACCAGTGTAGCACTGTGCTTATCAAATGATGCAGTCGCTGAGCAAAACAATTCAATTCCCCGGTCATTAATTCCAAACAACCGTACAGCACTACATATTGCAAGAATGGATTAACACTATAAAAGCCCTTAGAGTCGATACTTGTGCAGCTACAGTGGACTCAAGAGGGGTTTAACACTAATAAGAGCACTTCATCAAGAAGAATTCACCCCTTTCAGTAATACATACAGTTATTGCGGTATGTATATCCAATTACATTTTCATTAAGAGATTACACCGCGAGATCTTAAGAACATATGATGTTTGACTCTGTCTATCTTCACCACGAATATGGAGCCGCATGTTGAGACAGATGCTCCCACCGTTGAGGAGGAGCTGCATGTCGGTTCTTGCTGTTGCTCCGGATGCTGCTGTGAATGCTCTGTCCCCAAAGGCTGCCATTTCCGTTCCTCGTGCACTTGCGGCAGTTACCTCTGCTGCAGCTCTTCTCCCCCCAGCTGTTCCAGCAGCTTCTTTTGACTCCTTACCTGTTAAGCCCCATGCTAGTTCTGAAACCTGGAGTCCGTACATGCCTACCAAGTTTGAGGGTCGCCCTACTAGGTAGAAATTCAGAGAGCAGCAATATGAGAGACCAATCAAACACTTGCAAGGAAGGATGCATTACAAGGCATTGTAAATACCGGGAGTGATCCTTCTGTTGTTGTTTGGGTACATATATAGTACACACCATGATGTTCAAAGAGGTGTATCGGTTCAGTGACATAATATTACAGCAAGCCGAATTTTTACACATAAACAGTGCCAACAGGTTTCCCCACATGCAGTAGCAGGTAGCATATCGGTTCTATGTGCTCTACAGGCTCTGCCTTTGCTGCTCCCATAGAGGCCTCTGCTGTTGCTCGGGGAGCTGCTTTGCAGCTTCTGCTGCACCCCCCTCTCCTGCTGCTGCATTTGCTGCATCTGCACTTGTCCATGACATTGCTGCAGCTGCTGCTGCATTTGTTGCTGCAGCAGCTGTGGCAGATGTTGCTGATCTTGGCCCTCCTCTAGACGCCACCACTCCTGCTGCTGCTGCCCCTGCAGGTGCCTCACCGCCGGCTGTTGCGACTACAGTTGCTGGTGGTGGTGGTGTGTTAAAGTCTGAACTAGGAAGAACATAGGAGGCCGCCACGAAATGGCGGCCAAGGGTTTAGCTAGGAGCTGGACGAGAGTGTCGAGAGAGAAGTAGGTAGACTAGAAGAGAATGAAGTACAAGAAGGGGGTTGTCCCCCCTACAGTAGGATGCAGTTAGTAGCATAACTACCAAGCCTACAATTATATAAAAATATAATTTGAACATGGTGCTCCTGCTGCTCCAGTGTAGCATACGTTACAATACAAAGCATTTATTCAAAAGGGCAGTGTCATCTCAGAACGCATCGGTTTCTTGGCGTTCCTACTGAACATGTTGTTAGAATACCAGAAACTGACTAGAATCAAGGGTGAACAAGGCAGATATAGGGTTGGAGTTTTACTCTCTAAGAACACACACCTATCTAGCCTACAACTTCTACATAAAATTATTTGTACAGTTTGATGCATGTAACTCACACCAATAAACATACTACCTATGGCGATGTTCTTCAAAGGATCCATCTGATAGGGTTTCGGCAGAAAAGGAGACAATCCCTGACGATAAAAAAGCATTTACCTACGAACGATAAGCATTGCTAATAGGGAATACTCATATGAAGTCGGAAGTGTGCGTACCCTCCAAGAGTAGCGGCTACCATCTCCCTTCCACAACCTCTATGGACCCGGCTCTTCCCGCTCCCATAGTGCCTGTTGGTGTTGCTGTGCAAGCTGCGGCTGCAGTTGCTGCAGCATGTTCTGCAGCTCCAGCCATTGCTGTTGCAACCACGTGTGGTGTTGTTGCAGTTGCTGCATATGCACTTGTCCCTGCCCTCGCTGCAGTTGCTGCTGCAGTTGTTGGCGTTGCTGCTGCTGCAGTTGCAGCAGCAGCCGCTGCAGATGCTGCCACCGTTGTTCCTGATGTTGCCCCTCTGCTTGTCGCAGGTGCTGCTGGCCCTGCTGCTGCTGCTGCTGCTGCTGCTGTCCCTGCTGCTGTCCCCATTGCTGTCCCTGGTGCTGTCCCTGCTGCTTTCCCTGTTGCTGTCCCTGCTGCTGTCCCTGCTGCTGTCCCTGCTGCCGCCCCTGCTGCTGGCCCTGCTCCTGCTGCTGCTGCTGCTGCTGCTGTCCCTGCTGCTGTCCCCATTGCTGTCCCTGGTGCTGTCCCTGCTGCTTTCCCTGTTGCTGTCCCTGCTGCTGTCCCTGCTGCTGTCCCTGCTGCCGCCCCTGCTGCTGGCCCTGCTCCTGCTGCTGCTGCTGCTGCTGCTGTCCCTGCTGCTGTCCCCATTGCTGTCCCTGGTGCTGTCCCTGCTGCTTTCCCTGTTGCTGTCCCTGCTGCTGGCCCTGCTGCTGTCCCTGCTGCCGCCCCTGCTGCTGGCCCTGCTCCTGCTGCTGCTGCTGCTGCTGTCCCTGCTGCTGTCCCCATTGCTGTCCCTGGTGCTGTCCCTGCTGCTTTCCCTGCTGCTGTCCCTGCTGCTGTCCCTGCTGCTGTCCCTGCTGCCGCCCCTGCTGCTGGCCCTGCTCCTGCTGCTGCTGCTGCTGCTGTCCCTGCTGCTGTCCCCATTGCTGTCCCTGGTGCTGTCCCTGCTGCTTTCCCTGCTGCTGTCCCTGCTGCTGTCCCTGCTGCTGTCCCTGCTGCCGCCCCTGCTGCTGGCCCTGCTCCTGCTGCTGCTGCTGCTGCTGCTGCTGTCCCTGCTGCTGTCCCCATTGCTGTCCCTGGTGCTGTCCCTGCTGCTTTCCCTGTTTCTGTCCCTGCTGCTGTCCCTGCTGCTGTCCCTGCTGCCGCCCCTGCTGCTGGCCCTGCTCCTGCTGCTGCTGCTGCTGCCGCCCCTGCTGCTGGCCCTGCTGCTGCTGCTCCTCCTGCTGCTGTTGCTGCCGCTGCTGCTGCTGCTGCTGACGCCGCCCCTGCTGCTGCTGCCGCGCCTGCTGCTGGCCCTGCTCCTGCTGCTGCTGCCACCCCTGCTGCTGGCCCTGCTGCTGGCCCTGCTGCTGCTGCTGCTGCCGCCCCTGCTGCTGCTGCCCCTGCTGCTGGCCCTGGCCCTGCTCCTGCTGCTGATGCTGCCACCCCTGCTGCTGGCCCTGCTGCTGGCCCTGCTGCTGGCCCTGCTGCTGCTGCTGCTGCCGCCCCTGCTGCTGGCCCTGCTCCTGCTGCTGCTGCTGGCCCTGCTGCTGCTGCTGCTGCTGCTGCTGGCGCCGCTTCAGCATCCGTTCCTGCAGTTTAGTCTTCCGCAATTGGCGATGGCGCTTCTGCCCCACCTGCCTGCTCTGTTCAGCCTGCTCCCCCTGCAGGCAAGGTTCATCACCACTATCCATCAGGCCATGCCCATGTGTTACTCCTGCGGTGCTCGCCTCCACAGCTGTAAACACTCCGAAGTTTACATGCCCCTCAACATTCCCACGCACATCTGCACCCTCCATTGGCTGTCCCCCCGCAGGCTGTCCCACTGCATTCACACCCGTTTGTTGCCCAGTTCCCTGCCCCTGCTCCCCAATGACTGTTTCAGCTGGTACCTGCCTTTGTTGTCGAAGGTGTTGCATTCTCCGCAGTCGCGCCCGGATCACTCTCTCGGCAACAGCATTTGATGCATTTCCATCTGCAGGGGCGCTGCGGTCCATGACTCCCTCCTCGGGGCTCAAAACCCTCTCTCCTTGCTCCCCCCTCCCACCCCTCCCACCCCGCCCTCTCCTCCCCCCACGTTCCCCCGATGCACCCGTTCCTATCCCCCCTCCCCTGCCTTCCATGCTTCTGCTTCCGCCTGCGCCTCCCCTGCCTCCCCTCCCTCCGCTGACTCCGCTTTGCCCCCTTCCTTCCATTACACCCCTTGTTCCCCTCCTTCCCGTCCCTCCCATTCCTCCCCTTCCAATGCTGCCTCTCCTTCCCCCACTTCTTGCCATGCCATTCCCTGCTCCCATCCCTTCTTCCTCACCTCTCTCCGTGTCTCCTCTGCTCCATGTCCTCCCACCACCTCCGCCCGTCCCTCCACTTGTCGTCTCCACACCAAAACTGGTGCTTGCTGTAGCTTGGGCTGCTAAGTCCACCCCCCCTTCAGATGCTCCCACCTCACCCGAGGCCCCTCCATCCCCCGTAACTGTGTCTTCTCCAAGCCTCTCGTTCTGGTTGCACTGCTGTGCAGGATCAACACCTGCCAGTACCTCCCGCAGCTCTGGCTGAACTTCTTCTGGAACACATTCCACAGGAACCTCATCGCACTCATCCTCCGAGTCATCAGAACTACTGCTTTCTTCTTCATCTACATCTTGAGCCGCATCATTCACACCATCTCCCTCTAGCTCTGCTTCGAGCTGCTGCCTAAGGGCTGCGCACACCACCCCTGGGTGGTGGCTGTTGTTGCATGCAACACACAGTACCACACTCACTATCGCCTCAGCCCGTGTAGCTGTCTGCACACTCACATGACCTTCTGGGGTAAAAAGTTCCTCCCACGCTGCTCGAATTTGCTTCCTCAAGTCACAAGTTTTTATGTTATGGCCCTTCTCCCCACACTTCCCACACTTACGAAGTTTCCTTGGATCGATCTCACCGTGGGATCTTAGCCGCTGCAAGCGTCGCCTCCCTGGCTTTTTGGGATAGGTGGGGGGTAGAGTAGTGCCATCCGGTGTTACTTCGGTCCGGTCTAGAGTAGCAATCTCAATGCTGTAGACCTCCTTGAGTGCAGCAGACCTGTAGCACGGGTGCACCATCGCCCGAACCACCTCTTGCAGGGCTGCCAGCTCATTGCCCCGTGCTGGCCGGGTTTCGTGGATATGCACCGCGAAGATATGCACACACGGTAGCCCGTACTCACTGGAAGCATCAATAGAGGAAAAAGACAAGGCACAAAGTTTTTAAGCAGCTGTCCACCGATCCTTATATGCTTGGGTGACAACAAATCTATTTCACAATGATCAAGTTCCAACAAGAGCATATGCTGCTGAAAATTGAAAGAAAACCTGCGAAAGTGACAAACCTTGAGTAATTGCATGAGCACACGGTCTTCTCGGGATGGTTGGCGTTCTTCATCACCACACGCTCCTCCGTAGCCCCTATCTTGCGGCTCACGTGGTACGAGCTCAGGCCCGTCTTCTCCACGTTGTAGGACGTGCCCGTCTGACAATTCTCTCTGACTATGGCTGCCGTTTTCTTCCCGAAGTCAGCAGCCCCAAGGCTTCCATAGAGGGCACGCCCCTCTTCAAGCGCGGTCGCTTGCCGCTTGATGAATGCCAGCAACACCTGCGCGGGGTTGTCCTGTCTCAGCCCACGCATTGATGCATGATGCGATTCCACCGGATTTGATGTATAGCAGCCATAGCGTGGCCCACCGAAGAGAAATGTCGCCCATTTCTGTCCTTGGCCGTCCTTCTCCAAGTATTCCTTCCCTCCAGGACACTCTTCTTCAATCTTCTTCATCATCCCTCGGTGCACATCCTTTGTTAACGCAGCAGCGGCAAGCTCAATCTTGCCATCTAGGTCAGAGCCAAACTTCGAGCTGAAGTTCCTCACCAAGTGAGTTAAGCAGAATGCCTCCCGCATCCCGGGCAACACTATGGTGGCAGCAGCCTTCCAAGCCTTGCCACGATCGTGCATCAGGGTAAACTTCGGGGTGTTGATCTCTGGTGCAGCCACCTTCAGCTGCCCCAAGAAATACCGGCACGATTCTGCGTTCTCGCCTTCCGTCCACGCACTGCCGAGCCTCACAAGCTTGTGTTCACAATCAACCATACAAGCATTGAGGGTTTGCCCGTGCCACTTTCCCTTGTTGTGGCAACCATCGACAAAAATGATCGGAAAACAATTTTGTACAGCACTCCTAGCTCCCGGATACACGACACCTGCACGGTAGAACTTGTTCCCCTGCAACATCATGGAAACAAGGCTGGTGGGATTCTTCTGTTTAAAGACTCTCAGAATGTCACCAATGTACTGGAAACCCCCGTCACCAGCCAATGGGTCCTCCTGTACCACCTCTTCAATGGCCCGATAATTTGTAGAGTAGCAGCTGTACTTCCCTAATCTCTCGCGCACCATCTGTTGCAGACCAGCTGGTCTGAGCACACTATGGGGAAGTACCTCACGTGCAATCTCTTTAACTTCCTCCTTTTTAACCCTCCCAGGGCGTGGCATGCACATGTCTGCGTGCTGCAAACTAGCAATTTTCACACCAAACCCGCACCCGCGTGGCCCCGTCGCCTTGATCCGAAACGGACAAAATCCACGAGGTGGATTCATTTCATCTTTTGGCCAATCTTTGTCTTTCATAGACTGGCAGCGCACCTCAATCCGATCCGCCTTGTTGTGGAAGAACCACGGTTCAAACTTCTTCTGGTCAGCATATTTCACGATGTCATCCTTTGCAGCAATCTTCGATGAGTAGATCTTGCCCACGTGTATGTCCACATCGTCATTGCGTTGCCTTAGAAAAGCACTGCTCGAGCCAAAAAAAGAGGTTTTGTGTCACTATGTCGTGTAGCAACCCTAACGGAGTGCTCATGGGGCCCTAAACCGTGAGCATTCCCTTCTCAAACAACATAGGATAGTGCTCACCTTGATAACGAACTTCTGAACATGTTGACCCCTTGCTTTGCAGAAATGATAAGTATGTTGCATCTACCTGAGAGGAACACACGTCGGTGGCACAAACAAGCAGATAGTAGGAGAAAATTAGGGGAGTGATAGGTAGTGAAGGGCAGATTAAGCGGAGGATTGCAATATGTTAGTCTAGGGGGTTGGCGGATTGAGCGGAGATAGGCGAAGGCTGGTGATGAGGTGCAGACGTAACAGAAAAAGACGATGGTCTAGTTGGGAACGGAAGGTAACGCAGTGACGGGTGGATTGAGCGGTGGGAGTGGCGATAGAGTTGTTGGGCGGATCGAGCAACGAGAAACGTTTGCATAACGGAAAGGGGATGGGGGCAGCAGGAGAGACTCACAAGCTAGTTGGGAAGGGCGGATAAAGCAAGGAAAATTCGTGCTAGCGGGCATTGACAGGCGGATAGCGGGGGAGTGGTGAGAGTGGGATAGGTGGACAGAAGAGGAAAAACAGCGCCGCATGCTAGGTGCTTACTTCGGCGAACGAAATGGCTGTATGTAGGAGTTAAGGGGCGGCTTAGGGAAAGCCAAGAGACTGAAGGGGCAAAAGTTGTGGAAAAATAGGCGTGACAGTTGTTGGAGGAGCATGCTAAGTGACGAATTAATGTGTACTATTTGGCACAGCTAGATCAGATCAACTGTAGGAGTGTACATCGGAACCGCCATTAATGCTTGAACCTAACCAGATTTATCTTGCAACTATGCGGAGGAATATATATAATGTGATAGCGGCTGTAGTTGCTGTTTCGCGGGCTTATCATGACGCGCCGCTAAGTGACTAGCAGTTGCGGACCAGTGCAAACCCTAGAATGACTTGCGTGAGGTGTTAGTGTGAAGGTTGGGCTGCCCTGGATGTGTTCTCGTCAGTATCGCGGATTGCGGAATTGGTAAGGGAACCTTCAGTCATAGAGCTTGGCGAGCAGACGTGTTGGAATGTTGGCGGGAAGATTTGACGCAACAGTAAGGCTGTGTAACAGCGCGCTGTAGAGCCACCCACCTCACTGGATGGCTTCGGAACAAGAAGACAAGGAGGGGTGTGGCGAATTTGCCAAGTGAAAAGTACAGTGACGGAGCAACGAGATTGTGACACGTGGTTCGCTGTGGAGGGGACTAACCTCGAAGAACAAAAAATTGCCCCTCGGGGGTTGGAACAGCAAGAAACCCTTCTGTAATAGGGGTAAACGTTACCCCAGAGAGTAAAACGCTAGTAAGGGTTACCGTTAATCTAAAAACCCTAATAAATCTGCGTCGTGAACCTACCTCCGCAAGTGGTATCAAGTAGCTCCTATCCTACTTCCATTATTATCTTTCAATATGGTGCCGTAAAAAACATAACAGGTATAATGGAACCAGTGGAAGCATGTGTATCACCCCTAAACCCTGTGCTTCTGCAGCATTCAGGGCGTTGGAACTTGGAAGAGACTAGAGTATGTACCGTATGTAGCACTCAGCTTAGATACGCCAGCCAACCAACTAGACACCTTCCCACCTGCAGCTGGGAAGAGTGCCGGAATGACCCCATTCAAAACCTGAACCACTGTATAGGCGATCCATAAATCCCGTTACCCTGTACAACCAGATTTGGCTCAACAACACTACCAAAACAGACCATGCTGTCTGTTGTCATCTATCATACTAGTGAGGGGCTACATTCCCCTCCTCCTCTTCTCTTCTTGGACCATCTCTTTATAAGCCTGTTGGTTGGGAGTACATAAGGAGAGACACAAGGACATGACTTACTGTAGGCATAACTACGCACAAAATATGTCCAAGTGCGGCCCATTATTCATGAACCATCAACACGAATTTTAACTCGACGAATAAGGCACGTATCGGCAGAACCTGCTTTCTAGAGAGCGTGCTGCCAGGAAGAAATACGGTGCTTAATCGAACAGAGATTGCTTCTCACAGCGAGGGGAAGTGCCTACAGCGAGCGGTAGTGCAGACAGCGAGGGGGAAGTGCTTACAGGGAGGGGGACGTGCTTACAGCGAGGGGGACGTGCTTCCAGCGAGAGAAAGCGCTTACAGCAGGGTAAGCAACGAGGAAGGTGAGCCACCAGACGCCGATGGCAGCGGCGACGATGAGAGTGAGGAAGATGAAATGCAGGATGGCCCACGACATCCCCACGGCCACGGCTCCCGTTAACAATATGGTCCACGGCTGGCACCTGGGATTAGGGTGGTTGGTGTGTGGGGGGTGGGGAGAGGGGGGGAGAGGAAGGTGAGCCACAAGACGCCAATGGCAGCTGCGACGATAAGAGTGAGGAAGATGAAATGCAGGATGGCCCACGACATCCTCACGGCCATGGCTCCCGTTAGCAATATGGTCCACGGCTGGCGCAGGGGGAGACACAGGGGAAGGGGAGAGGTGGGGATGGGGATGCGAGGGAAGATGCGGAAGGACGGGAGACACGCAGCACGACATCCCCACGGCCACGGCTCCCGTTAACAATATGGTCCACGGCTGGCACCCGGGATGAGGTTGGTTGGCGAGGGGGAGGGGGGGGGGCTGGAGGTGGGGGAAAGACGCGGGGGAAGGGGAGAGGTGGGGATGGGGATGCGAGGGAAGATGCGGAGGGACGGGAGGCAGGAATGCAGCATGACATCCCCACGGCCACGGGCCCACGGCTGGCACCCTGGACAGGGGAGGGGTGGGGAGGAGGCGGAGAAAGGGATGGGAGATATGAGGCGGTGTTGAGGCGTCTCAAGGTCATTGGCATGATAGATCATGGACCCACGGCCATGGCTGCTGTCAGCACAATTGCCCGCCATCGTCGATCCATGGCTAGCACCTGGAATTTGGGGGAGGGGGGGGAGGGGGCGGGTGTGGAGGGATGAGAGATATGAGTCGGTGTTGAGGCGTTTTAAAGTCATTGGCATGATATACCATAGACCCACGGCCATGGTTGCTGTCAGCGCTACTGCCCGCAGTCATCCATCCACGGCCATGGCTGCTGTCTGTCAGCACTATTGCCCAAATCGTCCATCCACGGCTGGCACCTGGAATTTGGGGGGAGGGGGGAGGAGGGGGGGGACAGGGGGGTGGAGGGATGGGAGCTTTTTGAGTCGACTCAAAAGCATGGCTGCTGTCAGCACTATTGCCAGCAAACGCCCATCCATGGCTGGCACCTGGAATCGGGGGGAGGGGAAGAGGGGGAGGGGGAGGAGGGCGGGGTGTGGAGGGATGGGAGGTCGGTTCGAGGCTGTTGGGATGGGATGGGTCTGCCCCATCGTCCGCCGCTGGCTGGCACCCGCGACAGTGGGGAGGGGGGGAGGGGCGCGGGGGCGCAGGGGCGGAGGGGCGGAGGGAGGGATGAGAGAATGGGTGCCACGTCTTGTTATAAGGCGTACGAAAATCAATTATGTTCGTCTGATGGCCACGTCTTGGGTGCTCCCGTCAGAATTATGGTACCCTGCCGTCCCTTGCCGTCCACTGTCGTTGAGGCTGAGGTGCCTCAGAAATACACTGCCGCCCATGGCTGGCACCTGGGATGAGGGAGCGAGGGGGAATGGAGTGAGTGGGGGGGAGTGGGGGGGAAGGAATGGGAGAATGGTTTGAGGCGTTTCACTGCTATGGAAGTCCGATGGTCACCGGCCAACTGCTACTGTTAGGGCGGCTATGCTCGGCGGGGAATTTCCGGAATTTCCAGGGTAATTTACCCCAAATATTGTGCGCTACAGGCGAGTTCTCACCAGAAGGGTTTGCTGGCCCACACGTTCTCCTCCAGAATAATCATATCGGGGATATCCCACCCAGGCGGGAGCTCCTCCGCGCCCTTTCCGCGCATCATCTCCCCCTCGTACAAGTCGAATCCCCCCTGCGCCCCGCGCATGTCGCTCCCTCCGCGCATTGCGCTCCCCATCCGCCTTCCGCGCAACTGGTCCCACTCGTCGTCCCCCACTATTTCCGCCTCCACTGGCTCCGCGCGCTCCCGCGGGTCGTCCCCCTTCCCCCTAGCGCGCGCGCTTCCCCCGCGAGAAGGCGCAGCCCCCTCATAAGGCGTCCGCAGGAGGCGTGGGCTCCGCGGGAAGACTCGCGCGGAGGAGGCGGTTAGCGGGGACGAGGGGGGGACGGATTTGCGGGAGAGGGCTGCTGAGGCGCGGAAGCATGTATCCGTGGAGCGGAGAGATGCGCGGGAGCGGCGGAGTGAGGCGCAAGGGGGTGGTAGCGATAGTAACTGCATCGTGGAAGACATGGCTTGGCGGCGACTGATTCCCTAGTCAAGGAGATAGCTGGTCGAAGGAAAGTTCTCTACGAAGAAAACGGCCGCGAAAGGTGCAGTCGTTGGCCAAAAAACTTCCGCGAGACGCGGCGGAGTTTAGGGGGCTGAACGGAGTGGGCAGGAGCACTGGTGGTGGTTTGGACTGAAACTTCTGTGTTTTGTGAATGAAAGTGCAGAGCAGCGCGGAATTGAATATCGAGTCAGCGAGTTATCAAGGGAGGATACAAATCAATGGACGATGAGAGCAATATATAGGAACACCAGAGCTAGTCCCAGCCGTGAGATGAGATGTTTGGGGAATTCCATCGAAGGGTCTCCAAGCGTCGTAGAGAAGTCTGGAAACGAGCCGAAGGTTCGGCACGAGAAGTCCAGACCGAAGCGTAGCTTCGTGAGGTTTCAAGCGTAGGTGATGCAGTACTGCTCCGTAACGAGGACGAATTCCTTTCACTCTGCTTTTAGAGGTAATTCATATCGATGAGTCGATTCTGATAGTTGATTTCGGTCGGATACAAAGATTACGCCTGTTGTGATTATGAAGTTTTGCATTCCTGCAAGTTCCGTTTTTGGTGTAGCTAGCACTATCGAGTTTCTCGGTAAGGAAACAGGTCCGAAAGATGACGTCAGCAACGCATCGCGCGACTAGTGAATGACGTCAGCATGCCGTTTCAGTTACGCGAATAGGCGTAACGAACCGCTTCAGTCATGCTAGCTGTTATGATTTAGAAGATGTCAATGTACTGTAAGGAGAATACAACGTCCATATTGCCATGAAAGCACAAGGTTATATAGGAGTGGACGTAATAGAGAGATAACCTCGGGACGTGGATAGGTTCGGCGATGTGGCGAGGCTGTCGGGCGCGACTCGAGAAAGGGTTGGGCCGAAAATGTAGGCCGAATTGTTAAGAACTTAGGATGCTAGGTCCCTAAAGTTAGGACACTAGCTTAGCTAGGATAGGAGCAAGGCCGCCATGGAACGGCGCTAGGAAAAACGGATCTAGGAGTAGGAGGAAAGTCGAGAAAAAAGAGGGTTGGATTAGGAAGAGAAGGGAGTACAAGGAGGGGTTTGTACCCCCTACAGAAAGGTTCAGTAGCAACCTACCAAGCCTATATAAAATTATGACTTATATAATTTTAACACACCCCCTAGGCTTGGTAGTGTCAAGCCCACTCACACCCCCACACCCGCACCCAACCCACCCCCTAACCCCGCACACCCTCAGGCTCGTGCTTAGCCGGGTATCTGACCCTCAGGCAAAGCGTTGACACACCCCCGTACACGAGGCAGCCGACGGCGTCTAGGCGGGTCAGCGACAAGCAGCCGCGGAGCTCTGGCTCAAGGCGGCTGGGTCGCCGACGACAGGCGGCGACTGCCGCGGCTGAGGGCTCTCGGCGATGTGGCAACGTCCGGGCAGAAGACAGCAGCTGCGACAGGAGGAAGGGAAGACGCAGGGGGAAGGGAGAATGGGGGGGGGGGGGGGGGGGGGGGGGGGGGGGGGGCGGGGCGAGTCTTCAGCGTCGCGCCATAAATGGCGCGGCGCTTACAGGCGGGACGACGGCGTCCTGGCAGGGGGCGACGGGGCCGGGCAGAGGGCGACGGGGCCAGGCAGGGCGCGACGGGGCCGAGCGGGTGCGATGAGGCCAGGCAGGGCGCGACGAGGCCCAGGAGGGGCGCAGCCGCGGCGTCGCGCTGACGTCGTCCCGGTCGCGTGTCGAGACGGCCGCGGCAGGACGGCGCAGCCGGCGAACAGACGACGACGCCACAGCGTGACGCCGCCGCGGCCGCCATGGCAGCGTCGATGCCGCAGCGGGGCGTCGACGCTGCGACTGCAGAACGACGGCCCGACTCCGCGGCAGCGCGTCGGGCCGGTCGCGGCACGACGCGCCCAGTGGCAGCGCGACGTCGCCACTGCAGCAAAACGCGGCCGCCATGGCCGCTGGAGTGAATGAGGGTGAGGAGTAAATGGCGGAAGCGAGAGGAGGCAGTCCAGCAGGAAGGATCTCCTGCTCTGATACCATGTTAAGAACTTAGGATGCTAGGTCCCTAAAGTTAGGACACTAGCTTAGCTAGGATAGGAGCAAGGCCGCCATGGAACGGCGCTAGGAAAAACGGATCTAGGAGTAGGAGGAAAGTCGAGAAGAAAGAGGGTTGGATTAGGAAGAGAAGGGAGTACAAGGAGGGGTTTGTACCCCCTACAGAAAGGTTCAGTAGCAACCTACCAAGCCTATATAAAATTATGACTTATATAATTTTAACACGAATGTGATGAGTCGAAGTGCTCGGGTGTACACGGTAGCGGGTGACTCAGTAAGGAATGGAAATCCCTTACACTATCCCCCCCTCCTAAACGAGGCCGTAGGCATCGGGGACATTCCGACGCTGGTAATATGCCGTTAGAATCGGATGTGACTCTAGATCAGCGAGGGGCACCCAACTGTCGTCTTCGGACGTGCGATCGCGCCAGCGGATGAGGAAATCAACCATCCGACGGTTCAGCTGCGTGGTGATGCGATGGCCGAGAATTTTCAAGGGCTCGGTCATCAGTTCCTGCAAAGGCGTCAGTTGTGGGACACCACGGTTGCGTGCCACGTCCGACGAACTCGGGACGTAGGGTCGGAGGAGACTGACGTGGAAAGCCGGGTGATGGCGCCAATCAGCCAGTAGCCGAAGGTGGACAGTGACAGGTGTCACGAGATTGGTCACTTGAAAAGGTCCGCAGAATCTGGGTCGGAGTTTGCTTGGGATCGGCAGCCGCAAATTGCGAGTGTCGAGGAGGACAAGATCTCCCACTTTGTGATTGACGTCGCGTCGATCTCGATCGGCTTGTCGGCTTGCGACCAGGTCAGCTTTCCGAATGGCCTCAGCTGCTTTGTCGCGAGTGGCGCGAATGTCTTCAGCAAATTTCTGCGACCGAGGCACTGGTGACTCGATGTTCCGTGTAGAGGGTACTACCAGGTCCTGTCCGTAGTTGAGGAAAAATGGGGATTGATTGGTTGTGGCTGAGGTCGCGTTATTATACGCGAATTCGAGTAGCGGAAGGGATTTCTCCCATGTCGATGGGTCAGTACAGGTGGTGCGAATTAGCTGCTCCATGGTTTGGTTAACGCGTTCGGTCTGCCCGTCGGTTTGTGGGTGGTAGGCGGATTTAAATTGGAATTTGGTGCCGAATTGGTCCCACAGGTGGCGCCAGAAATTCGATGTGAATTTTGGGTCTCGGTCTGAAATGATGGCGGAGGGCAGTTCGTGCAGGCGGATGACGTTCGTGATGAACAGCTGCGCAGTTTGTTCGGCGGTGATTGTCTGTTGGCAGGCGATGAAGTGCGCCATTTTTGTGAGTCGGTCGACGACCACGAGGATGGCGTCGTTTCCGCTGGGGCCGGCCGGCAGTCCTGTCACGTAGTCCATCGTGACGTGTTGCCAGGGTCTCTCGGGCGGATCCAACGGCTGTAGTAGTCCGGCTGCTCGCTGATGCGACGATTTCATAATCTGGCAGGCAGTGCAGGAGGACACGTACTTGCGCACGTCATCGGCCATGTTCGGCCAGTAGTAATTCCGCTGCAACATCTTCGTGGTTTTATCCACGCCGAAATGTCCTGAGGTAGGGTTGTCGTGGGATTCTTGGATTAGGAGGGTACGAAGTAAATCGTAGCCTGGCACCCAAATGCGAGAAGTACCTCGCTTATAAAAATATGGCCCGGTGGCTGTGGTATGCTGTTGATGGATGGCTGAGCGGAAAAAGGCATCGATCTTGTAGCCGTGGGTGAATAGTCCCGTAAGTAATGGGTTGGTCTGGGCGATTAGTATCGCGGCGGTATGGACAGTAGGGCGGGTCAAGGCATCGGCGATATTATTGGCACCCCGTTTGTAGGTGATGGTGTAGTGGAAGTTGGACTCGAGGAAATCGGGCCATCGGATCTGTCGTGGATTGAGGTTCGGTTGGGCGCGCAGGTACTATAAGGATTTGTGGTCCGTCCACACCGTGACGTCAGCTCCGGTCAGGTAGCACCGCCAGGTCTTGAAGGCGTGGACGATCGCCAACATTTCCTTGTCGTGTACTGTATAGTTTTTTTCCGCGCCCTGCATCTTCCGTGATTCGTAGGCGACCGGTTGTAACCCGTCGCCGAAGTCCTGGAGGAGAACTGCACCGATGGCGATGTCGCTGGCGTCGGTGACGACTTCGTATGGATGGTTGGGATCGGAGATGCGAAGGACGGGTGGCGACGTGAGGGCGATTTTGAGTTGATCGAATGCAGCTTGCTGCTTCTCACCCCACCAAAAACAAACGTGATCCTTCAATCGGTCTGTTAGCGGTGCAGATAACCCAGCCATATTGGGGATAAAGCGGCGGACGTAGTTGACAAAACCCAGAAAACTTTGGAGTTCCTTGAGGTTGGTCGGCGGCTTCCATTCCTGTATGGTCTTGATTTTCCTGGGGTCGATTTTCACGCCTTCGGTAGAGACGACGTGGCCCAAAAACTCCAACTCTTGCTTAAGAAAATCGCACTTAGACCCTTTCGTAATGAGTCGATTCTTGTGCAGCAACGTGAAGACTGCATCAAGATCCTTTAAGTGCTGCTCCCTGCTGCGGCTGTAGATGAGGATGTCGTTGAGGTAGATAATTACGCATTTAACCAGGAGTTCGCGGAAAACACCGTTCATGGTCATCTGAAAAGTCGAGGGCGCGTTCGTGAGCCCAAAAGGCATCACCAAGTATTCGTAACTGCCGTAGCGGGTTCAGAAGGCAGTCTTGTGGCAATCCTCAGCGGCGACCCGAATTTGGTGGTAACCTCCTCGCAGATCGATTTTCGAGAAGTACTTGGCTCCGCGAAGTTGGTCGAGTAGGTCGTCGGCTCGCGGGATCGGGTAACGGGACTTGATGGTGATGCGGTTGAGTGCACGGTAGTCGATGCACATACGGAATCCGCCATCTTTTTTCGGTGTGAACAGTATGGGGGCGGCGTATGGGGATGTGCTTGGGCGGATAAAACCTTTCGTCATGAGGTAATCCAACTGCTGCTGCAATTCCTCAAGTTCCGGTTGGCTGAGCCGAAATTGTCGCTATACTGTCGGTTGTGCGCCGGGTTCCAGTTCGATGCGATGGTCTTCGGGTCGGCTTGGCGGAAGTCCGGCGGGTAGGTCGTCCGGGAAAATCTCGGGGTATTTTCGAATGAGTTCCGCTAAATCCGGAGGAACGGCTTCACACAGCTTCGTGATATCTTCCGCTGTTATCGGCGACGTTACTTCGCGAAGATCGACGGCGTATGCTGCTGCTCCCGCTTTTATCGTGCGCTTGAAGGTGATCGCGTGGACTTGGGTACTTCGCATGCGGGGTCCCGTCCATTTCGGTAATTCGTGATAGTGCCCATCGATCTTGATGCTGCAGCTGCCCATCGTCCAGTCGATTCTCGGGTTGTACTGTCGAAGCCAATCCCATCCCAGCAGCACGTCGCACCCGTCGAGTGTAGTCGCCAGCAGCCCCATCCGAAATTTTACGTGCTCGCCGCAGTGGAAACTGACGTGCTCCACCCGCTCCCGTATAGCTAACGGTGTACCATCCACCGGTCTTGCGTCGATTTCGGGTAGACACTTTAATGAAGGGATTCCCATTTTCTTAGCCCTGTCTAGCTGTATGAGACTGTGACTCGCGCCTCCATCCACGAATATTTTCAGCAACACCCCGTTGACTTTACCCTCCACCAACACAGGGTGATCAGCAGTTTCGTCCCCCTTATTTGTCCGGGTCCGGTCGATTGCAGCAATCGGGATCACGACCGGGTGGGGACTGTGTGGTTTGGGCGAAGAAGCCTGCCCGTCAGTAAGGGGCCCGGCACTTACTGACGCGACCCATTTCCCGGTCGCTCCTCCGGCTTCTTCCCCATAGAATTCTGGATGGCTATGAACTCTTGGCAGTTGCGTTTGATGTGACCCGGTCGGCCACAGTGGTAGCATAGCCCCGTATTTCGCGGAGCAACTACGTAAATGTCCACTGCGTCCATCTCTTTTATCGTGGTGCGCTGGTACTGTTCTCGAGGGCGACCTCCGTCGTAGAAGTTCGTCCTCGGCTTCGTGAGCAAATCAGCGGCTTCAGCGAGTTGGATGAAGTCTTGTAACCGTTTCGCAGGTCGTTGTAATTTTATCTGGTACTGTATTTCAGGCTTCAGCCCGCCCATGTACCTGTCGACCTTCTCCAACTCGTGCATGTAGCCACATCGATCCACCAACGTCAAGAATGACGCGGTGTAGTCAGACACAGATCCCCGCTGCTTTCAGATGCGTAAAGTCTCGCGCGCTTTGTCTGAGTCAGGAGCATGCTCAAACCGCTTGCGAAGCTCTGCGCACCACGTTGCGCACGTGCGAATGTGAGTTGCACCAAACAGCAAATCTGCTTCGTCTTCGTCGCCGAATTCTTCGGACCACTCATGTTGTCCTTCTGTGCGAGTTGCCGCTGAGTCGACGATAACCTTCCACCACTGTAGGGCGGCCCCTTGCAGCAGTGTCAACGCGTGGCTGATCCGCTTCTGGTCGTCTCGGATGCCCGCCGCGTTAAAGTAGATATTCATGGCGAATATCCACTGCCGCACCGTCACGCCTTTATTAGCTGGGTCGAAAGGAATGGGTTGCTGATATCTCACGCCGCCACTTGTCGAGCGCGGGGCTGTCGCCGCTAGCCGTGCCAGCTCCACTGGTGTCGGTTGCTGCTCACCTGCCTCGCTTCGTGCATCGTCGCCCGGCTCCTCTGAACGCCTTTCCTGCGCCTGGCGAAGTCGTTGGTTTTCGTCACGAAGGTTGTTGACGACGCTTGTCAAATTATTCAACTGCTCCATTAATGCTTGCAGGTCTACTGTGTCCCGGGCAGAGTTCGCAGCAGTCGAGGTTGTCTGTTCCTCAACCGTCGAGTCTATCGGGGCCATGGCGGTCAGGACGGGGCAGAAACTAGCGCACACGCTGTAGTTGTTGACGTAAAAATATTTACGATCAAAGGCAACTGCTGTGCAGGCGTGTTAATCCCCTCTGACCACCCTTAACTAACTAACGGGGAAAACGGAAGGTTCCGAGAAAGGTCGGGCTCTGATACCAGCTGTTATGATTTAGAAGATGTCAATGTACTGTAAGGAGAATACAACGTCCATATTGCCATGAAAGCACAAGGTTATATAGGAGTGGACGTAATAGAGCGATAACCTCGGGACGTGGATAGGTTCGGCAATGTGGCGAGGCTGTCGGGCGCGACTCGAGAAAGGGTTGGGCCGAAAATGTAGGCCGAACGTGATGAGTCGAAGTGTTCGGGTGTACGCAGTAGCGGGCGACTCAGTAAGGAATGGAAATTCCTTACACTAACTGTCTCGACCCTATAGAATGACGAATAGGTCGCATAGCGCGCAACTAGCCGAACAGATACTTTCCCTAGAGCTATAAATCCTTGTAATGCCTTTCTATTATTAACCTTGACTTTCCACAGAATTATGTGCTCAGGTTATTCAACCTTCGACTACCCACAAGTTCATGTGCTCAGGTTCGCACCTATAAGACTTCCGCTGTCTTACTAGTCTACCATTCCAGCAAAGATCCTTGGTTAAGTACTCGTGTTTGCAGATTCTATACTTAGTCTCCTGCAACACCTATCAAATTCTTACAACGCCCACGTGTACTTCTCCAATATATAAACGACCAGAAAATATTCTGTTTGGCAGTGAGATTTTTGGAACCCGAAGTTTTGGAATCAACGTCCCGATTTTCCCTAATGATGAAGACATTGTGCCATTGTACCAGGGCTCAAAATTGATTTAGGGGGACCCTTGGTAATCAGGGTACCTCAAAAAAATTGCCCTACCTCCTAGGGTGGAAATTTCAGCACCCTCTGAAAATCAGGGTAAATTTGTAAAAAAAACTGAGTACACTGTTTGGCTAGGGAAAAAAATTGAACACTCTTTCATGTGCTTACAACAGTCGATCATACTTTGGAGTGCTTTTAAATCTCGCATACATACAAGCACGTTGTCTCTAGCATTATCAATGCATAGCTAGATAACCTACTACTACTACTACTACTACTACTACTACTACTACTACTACTACTACTACTATTACTACTACTACTACTACTACTACTACTACTACTACTACTACTACTACTACTACTACTACTACTACTACTACTACTACTACTACTACTACTACTACTACTACTACTACTACTACTACTACTACTACTACTACTACTACTACTACTACTACTACTACTACTACTACTACTACTACTATTACTACTACTACTACTACTACTACTACTACTACTATTACTACTACTACTACTACTACTACTACTACTACTACTACTACTACTACTACTACTACTACTACTACTACTACTACTACTACTACTACTACTACTACTACTACTACTACTACTACTACTACTACTACTACTACTACTACTACTACTACTACTACTACTACTACTACTACTATTACTACTGCATGTTCTGTGAGTCTCACGGCAGTCACTAATACTCCCGCTACTAATAGCTCACTCTGCAGACCCACTATTCCCCCCGCCGACTGAGCTGGGAGCAGCAGAGGGTGTTGCGTTCTCTGGCTCAGCAAACTGCACCGAACTGGGGATGGCGCTGGTGAAGTCTCGGATAGTGTGGCGGGGCTTTTCTCCACGAAAGATGGCCACCACGTCGAACCAGTCCACGTCATACTCCAGCAGGGAGCACCGCATGAGATGGCCGAGGGTGATGTCGCCCATGCTACCCCGCGCCCATGTCTTTATCAGGTTCTGCTTGGAGAAACCACACTCGCAGTCGACAGTGCTCAGCGGGAGAACAGCGACAACTTGCCACATGAGCATGATGTTGGGGTAGCTGAGCTGCCAGTTGCTGTCACGCAGCATGTTGCTCAGCGCCTGGAAGAAGTCCTCATGATGATGCTGGGAGTGCATGGTGGATGTGAACATCCATAGCTCCGTGACTGCATTGTTGTACTTGAATCCTGCAAGGGGGTTCGGGGCGGTGAGGGAGGAATGGTTTAGTGTTGAGACTTGAGAGGCAGCGATTCTGTTCGCATAGCATAGCATACCATGACTCCATGGTTGAGAAGTAGGCGCTCTAGATTACCTGGGAGCTTGTGCCGAAACAGGCGTCCGGCTGCTTCAGCCACTTCTTGAAGGCCGCCACGCCCAGGATGTCGTCATCCAGGTAGGTCTTGTCCAGGAACAACTTAGTCCCCTCCATGTTACGCAGATCGTTCAGGCGGCGGTCGAGGAACATGTTGACGGAGCGAGCATACTTGACGTAGAGCTCGAAGCAGGTTGTCACGTCGCCGTCAGAATCTTGGCCCGGCAGCGGTCGCTCGTGGAGTTCGAAGGAGAACGACTGCGGGTTTCCGTCACCGTCGACGCCCTCTGCCATCATCACCCGCTTGTCCTTAGCCGCATGCGCCGCGATGAACTCCGGCAGATGGAGCTTCTCCCCATGGCCAAAGACGTGCCCAGGCCCAGAGCTAAGATAGCGCGCCGAGATCCGCATCTTGGTTTGCTCAACCACGTGTGCCACGAGTGTCACGTCAACCTGTAGGGGCGGGCACAACACACGCACCACGCATCAGTGCTATGCTTTGCGCCGGAAACCACATGGACTGGTCGGCAAACATGGGTTGTGAGAGTCAGACACGCGTAGCGATATAATGAATAGATCAGACACGGTGATGCATACCTGGCGCTGCTGAAACCGTTGGTTGAGGATGTTCAGCTCCGTCAGAATGTCAGCAAGGAAGCGCAGGAGAAAATGAAACTTGAACGAAGTAACGACTTCATACAAGTCACTCCCGTGCTCGCGTAGCAGCAAGATGGCGGCTAGGAGTACGTCCACGAGGCGGTTCACCGCCTCGCCCCTGGAGAGCCAGCGGATGACATGGATTCCCTGGTGTTCCAGGGTCGTCTAACAGAAGATCAGCTGCAGCGCCATGAAGCGGGTGTAGCGCACGTGACTGCGTCCAAGGATGTCGGCCAGTGTCCGTATGATAAGGTCAATGATGCTTAGCTCGGGCACGGCTGCAGCCGCGTCCTTAGCCGCCAGCGCCTCCCTGAAGGCGGGGTGGGAGGATAGGGGAAGAGTAGTAGAAAGGCTGATGTTACTTCCAGGAATATAAGGCACGACCATGCATATCATTCGAAAGTTTATACGTCCGTCGAACCGCAACAAACCGAAGGCAATGCAGTGAATCGAGACGAGGTGCTCGATTTGTGCGCGCAGACGGGTCACTACTCCGCTCCGCTCGCCGGTCATTACGGAAGCTCCATCAGTCGCGATGCCCACGATCTTTTGCAGGTCCAGTCCAATTCCCTGGATGTAGTGCAAGAGGGAGGAAGTCAGAGATGCCACGTCAGTCCGCTCGACACTCAGAAGCGTGACAAACTCGGTCGCCACGGTGTTGCCCTTGAAAAACGTCGCGTAGAGTACGAGAAGTTTCCCGTGGATGCAATCTGTGCTCTCGTCGATGCTGATGCCGACGTAGGGAGAGGCGCAAAGGTGTTTCAGCTTTTCCTCCTGCAGATACTCCGACATGGACCGTATGCTCTCCTTGAAACCGTAACTGCATGACACGGAAACAAGGAGAGACGGACGGCGGGGCATTTGTACCATACAAGAAGGCCACAATTTGTGCACGTGGGGAGGGAGGACGAGCAGTGAGCATCAAACGGCAAAGCGCACAGCACAAGAACTACTGTCGAGGTTTTAACATACTCTATGTAGTAGGCGCCGTACCCACCACCTGGCGGCAGATCGGGGTGGCCTTCCTTCGCGAGGAACCAGTACAGGGGGATGAACATCGCAATGGGCGCATCATGCCTGCAAATGAACAACGCGATGTGCAGCATGCGGATAAGATGCTGCGTCTGGTAATCCGTCCGCTGCCAGCGGGTCAGCGTCACTTGTTGCTCGCGCTCTTTCTCAGCATCCTCCTCCGCCTTGATCGCCGATTTGTGCGCACGGGTGCCGATGTGAGAGCGGATGCTGCTGAGCTGCAAATCACGCCCGCCCTCACCCTTGATGCCATACGACGTGTTCGCACATGGGTCGGCGTGTTTGAGGCACGTGGCGCACTTGAGAGCAGGTCGTTCGTTCTTCATTCGATGTAGCTGCAGCCAGGAGAACCGTTTCGACCAGTCGTTGTCGAAACAGTTCTTTATTACTGCATACTCGGCCTCAGCAGCGGTCGTCGGCAGAGCGTCGGCAGCAGGCCCGGCAGGGCGAGAAGGGCGCGCGGGAGGCGGGCTTGCTGGGCGGCAAGGCGGAGGCGCACCCCAGAGGGTCGACTGCGTCCACGCGGACCGTTGCGGCCTTTTGGCGGTCTCGGGGGTAGGGGAGGGTGGGGTTGTCACAGAGGGATGGTCGGACTCATCTGCATCGGCAGACTCAGAAACGTCGATGGGCTCGATGCCCCGTGGAGATGGAGAAAGGGATCTAGGAATCTGTGGTGGGGCGGGCTGAGGAATTTGCAAAGAGCGTGGGGGAGATTTACGCTGGCTGAACGAGGGCGCGACTGCTGGTCGAGCGAGGGGGAAAACGCCGAGGACGCTAAGGCCATCACGATGACCAACATGGCCATCGTCAGGCTCGTCGTTCTCGGGAACGGCCATGTCTGAGTAGTAGAAGTGATAGAGTTACAACTAACGAGGGGAATGATTGACCCAGTTCGGCTGGGTTGGGTGGAAGTATGAAGAGAAGGTGGGGGAAGAAGAGGATGAGGACGATGGGCCAAGAATGGTCTCGTGATAGGGAACGAAAACCACACAGCGCGGCAAAGTCAACCTGCTATGGCAGACTGTCCTTGCGCCGCAGGTGTTGCTGCGCTGGTGCATGCGATGCCCAACTGTCCTTGAGACCACGCGGGAAAGTGGCCTCGATGCACAGCGCATACTGCATCCAGCACGCCGCTGGCAGCAGTGCTGCCACAGCGCGACGAATTCACTGCCACGCGCGCCGATTCTGGGGGGCTTGACTGCCAGTAGGGGGGCATGGCTGGCGGGGTTTCACGCGTGGCAGATTCGACAACAATCGAATCCGCAGACCTTGTAGGCTTCTGTTTCAGGGTGTTTTCGGCAACACCCTGCCTGGTCAGGGTAGATCACGGTTTACTCTGGCTACAGCAGGGTAAAAAAAAACTTACACTTTTAGAGAAAGTGTCACAAAAAAAAAACCCTTTGAAAATCAGGGGGATCCTGAAAAAGTGGCCGCTGGCAAGGGCAATCAGGGTGAAATTGTTCAAATTATATAAGTTATAATTTAATATAGGCTTGGTAGGTTGTTACTGAACCTTTCTGTAGGGGGTACAAACCCCTCCTTGTACTCCCCTCTCTTCTAATCCAACATCTTTTCTCTCCTCAACTTTCCTAGCACCTAAAACCTCTCGCCATTCTCATGGCTCCTCCTAGCTCCTAGCTAAACCTTGTGCCATTCTATGGCTTCCTAGCTAAGCTAGTTTCTGACATGGTATCAGAGCCAAAGGTCTTGGGTTCTAGTCCCAGTGCCAGCGCTGCAGAGGCGCCCGTGTCTTCCACCTATCCCAGCGAGGGGGGGTGTCGAGTGACCCGCTGGGTTACCCTTGAAAAGATCCTCGGGGAAGGGCCACAGGTGCAGAGCCTGGGGGGCTATGGGCGCACTTACCCGCTATTCAACAAGCCCTTTTAACCCAGTGGTTAGTGACTGGGTTTCTGACATGGTATTAGAGCAGTTCGTTCCGCGTGGGCCTGCTCCTCGCGTTTCCGCTGCGTGCTCGTTTCTCTCTCTATCTCGCGCTGCCATGGCGGCCGCGTCAAGCTGCTGTGGCCGCGTCGTCGTGCCGCGGCGCCGCCGTCGACGTCCATGGCGCCCGCGTCCAGCTGCTGTGGCCGCGCCGTCGTGCCGCAGCTCCGCCGTCGCGTCAAGATGCTGTCGCGACGTGACGGCGCCGTCACGCTGCCGCGGCGTCTACGTGACAGCGCGCGGTCGGCGTAACGGCGACGTCGTGTTGCCGTCGCAACGTCGACGCCCCGCTGCGGCATCGACGCCGCTCCATGACGGCGTCGTCGGGCTGCAGCCGGCCGCGTGACGCTTGTGGCGCCGCTAGACCGGCCGCCCGCATGTCAGCCTGTGGCGCCCCCCCCCCCCCACCCCCCTCCTTCCCTTGTGCCCTCTTCCATTCCGCAGACGACGGCTGACTCCCGCCGGCCGTCCCACCGTCGCGGGGCCTGGCCACGTCGCCGAGAGGTGCGGGTGCCGCCGCCGCTGCCGCTGTTGTCGAAGCCGCCGCCGCCGCCGCTGTCGCCGCTTGCGTCGGGGCCACGCAGCCGCACGCCGCCGCCGCCGCCGCTGTCGACACTGCCGCCGCTGCCGCCGTCGCCGCCGCAGCCCCTGCGGTCGACGTCGCCGCCTCACGCGCCGTGGGGTCGACCGACCTAGAGTCGCTGTCACTGTGGCTGGAATGGGGGTGCTAGGTTAGGGGGTGTGGGTGTGTGTGGGCATGTGACTACCAAGCCTAGGGGGTGTGTTCAAATTATATAAGTTATAATTTAATATAGGCTTGGTAGGTTGTTACTGAACCTTTCTGTAGGGGGTACAAACCCCTCCTTGTACTCCCCTCTCTTCTAATCCAACATCTTTTCTCTCCTCGACTTTCCTAGCACCTAAAACCTCTCGCCATTCTCATGGCTCCTCCTAGCTCCTAGCTAAACCTTGTGCCATTCTATGGCTTCCTAGCTAAGCTAGTTTCTGATAGAAATACCCTTCAAATTTGAGCCCTGCATTGTACCATTGTGACTCATTCAATTCATCATAAGCACATGCGTGCCAACACCAGCTCACCCCACCACCCTACCATCATGCACCCAGCACAAGAGTACCACGCTCTCCTGTTCCCAGTGCACCTCAAACACACTAAATCCAATTGACCAACATAATCCAATAAATTAGTGTTGCGTGTGTGTACCAGCACATAATCCAACGTCATGCAGCACCCGGAGGGGACAGGGTCTGGGAGGGCGTTGTGTGACGTGTCATCCGGCTGGAACTTGACTGTAGACAGGGCCTGTCTGCAGCAGATGCTCCCTCGGAAACACCAGTTCTGTTTCTGAGGAGCCTCAAGCGAAGACGCCATGCAGTGTCATGCAGTGCCGGGGGGGACAGGGTCCGAGGGGGTGTCATCTGGCTGGAATTTGACTGTCTGCAGCAGGTGCTCCCTCAGCAGCTCCAGGTTCTGCTCCCGGATGGCCTCGTGCAGGGCCGCATGGGAGTAGCGCTGGCGGGAAGAAGGATAAGGGGAAAGGAAGGGTAGGGGAAGGGGGAAAGGGGAATGGGGTGGTTTTGGGGTGGGGGGGATAAGCCATTGCTCCTTTGCAGCAGCTCCAGATTCTGCTCCCTGATGGCCTCGTGCAGGGCCGCATCGGAGTAGCGCTGTGAAGATAAGGGACGAGAGGGGGGAGTGGGTAGGGGAGGAGGGGAGGAGGGAAAGGGGTAGGCTGATGGGGGATGGGCAGGTGTTCCGTTCCAGCAGCTCCAGGTTCTGCTCCCTGATGGCCTTGTGTAGGGTTGCATGGGAGTACTGCTGCAAAGATAAGAAGGGTCAGAGAAAAGGAGGGGAGGGGGTGGGGGGGGGAGGGAGGGATAAGAGGGAAGGGGAATAAGCAGGTGGTCTTTTGTAGTAGCTCCAGGTTCTGCTCCCTAATGGCCTCCTGCAGGTTTGCATGGGAGTACCAGATGGCCTTGTGCAGGGTTGAGTGGGAGGCGGAAAGCGGAGGAGGCCAGGGTGGGTGGAGGTTGGGGGGTGGGTGGGGTGAGGCACACAATAGTATCAGCCCATGTGTATGTACTAGCAGATGAAGATGTGTGCTGCACTGGCAGCAGCACGCATCAGTATGTCAGTCTGCCGCACAACTGGTGAGAACTCTTGAAGCCACTCTTCGGCGTGCACCGTGCACCATGCACCATGCACCATGCACCATTGCACCATGCACCATGCACCATGCACCATGCACCATTGCACCATGCACCATGCACCATGCACCATGCACCATTGCACCATGCACCATTGCACCATGCACCATGCACCATGCACCATGCACCATGCACCATGCACCATTGCACCATGCACCATGCACCATTGCACCATGCACCATGCACCATGCACCATTGCACCATGCACCACGCACCATGCACCATGCACCATGCACCATGCACCATGCACCACCATGCATGCAGGAGCCCCTCACCTTCACCCATCAAGTGAACAGGTCCAGGCGTGAGATCAAGATGCGGTCGCCAGAGAGCACCACTTAGTGGTTTTAGCCATACGAGGCAGCGGGTCTGTAAGAAACCCTTCGTTTGTAAATTTTGAGTCAACTCGAAAATCATGCGGGTGAACAGGTCCAGGAGCCCCTCACCTTCTTCCATCGAGTGAACAGGTCCATGCGTGTGATCATGATTCGCTCACCCAGCTCCTGACGCTCCTGAGGGCAGCATGAGAATGATGGGATGATGGCATGGCATGAATATGGGATGCATGAACGTGGGATGGTAAACGGATGGTGAATGGATGGTGAACGGATGGTGAACGGATGGTGAATGGATGGTAAACGGATGGTGAATGGATGGTGAACGGATGGTGAACGGATGGTGAATGGATGGTAAACGGATGGTGAACGGATGGTAAACGGATGGTGAATGGATGGTGAATGGAGGACGGTGGGATGACCAGTAACCAATCTCCCCCACCTTCCCTACCTTCCCCACCTCCCCCATCTCCCCCAACCCCCCCCATCTCCCCCAACCCCCCCCATCTCCCCACTTGTGCGAGCAGCTCACCTGCACGAGGGTGCGAATATAGGTAGTGCCGTCCACCACCCTGTTGCTCCCCTTTTCCCCGCACCTCACAACTACCAGTCTCCCTGGCTGCTCTGCTCTGATTACCTGCACCAGCGTGCGAATATAGGTAGTGCCGTCCACTCCCCCTCCATAATTCCCACCCTCCCCCACCTCCCCCATTTTCGCCACTTGTGCGAGCAGCTCACCTGCACCAGTGTGCGAATATAGGTAGTTCCATCTACCACCCTGTTGTTCCATTTTTCCCCCCACTTTCCCCCCTCCCCGCACCCCACAACTACCAGTCTCCCTGGCTGCTCTGCTCTGCTCTGCTCGGCTCTGCTTACCTGCACCAGTGTGCGAATATAGGTAGTTCCGTCCACCACCCTGTTGTGCACTGTGAAGCTGATTGTGGGGGGGAATAAGCAGATGGGCCCGGGGGAGTCAGTTTTTAGAATTATAAAAAATGACTCCACTGCTGTGCACTGTGAAGCTGATTGGGGGAGGGGGGAAGATGCAGTTGGGCCAGAGGGGGGGAGGGGAGGAGGGTGTGTGGAGTGAGGGGTGGTGGGTTGGGGGTGTGTGGGGTGGGGAGGGAGGGGGCGGGGGCGGGCAGGAGCAGGATGGGAGGAAAAGAGAGAACCATTGAGAAGAACTAGTCCCGACGGTACTTCCTTAGTACACATACCAAGGCAGTACCGTCGGGTCGGGACCTGTGACGGATTGGTAGTTGATGTTTCATAAGGACTGACTAGTTCTTCTCAATGGTGGGACTCAGGAGTAAGTGGGTGGTTTCTATCTCACCCAGGAGTTCACCCAGAGTTTACTCACCTTGAGTGAAGTGAACCTCTCGTCCGAGCAACAGTTTTCGATACAGAGCTCCACACGCAACTCTCGGAGCCCACAGATTCATTCACACAGAAGTCGGGCTCGCTTGCATACGAAGCTGTACTGGGTTGGGGTTCATCTCCAGCAGCTGCTGCTGCAGCACCGTCTTCACAACGTTACTGCTGTACTGCTATTCAGGTTATCACCTACCCCAGTTAATGGCTTTGGGATCAGCTGTTCACAGGGAGTGGACTCAGAGCTCAACTCACTTGTAGAGGAAGCTGTACTGGGTGGGGTTCATCTCCAGCAGCTGCTGCAGCACCGTCTTAACGGCCTTGAACGTGAAGTAGTCCATCAGTTGCTGGGAGAAGGTGATGCGGGGGAGACGCAAGGTGGGGAGTTGTTACATAACGAGTATTGAGTCCGTCTCAACAGCTGCTGCAGCACCGTCTGCACCGCACCGCCTTCCTTGAATGTGAAGTAGCCATCAGCTGCTGAGGGTGGGTGGTGCAATGGTGCAAATGGTGCAAATTGTGGGGAAGGAGGGACAGAGGCGGCGGGGGGGGGGGGGGAGCGGGGAGGTCGGTAGGAGGATGAAACTTGAGCTGTCTCAAGGAAAGGGCTTCACGGCCTTGAACGTGAAATAGTTCATCAGTTGCTGGGGGTGGGTTTTGAGTCGACCAAAAACTCACATAGTTAATCAGTTGCTGGGGGTGGGTGGTGCAGTAGGAGCATGAAACATGAGTCGCCTCAAGTAAAGGCCTTCACGGTCTTGAACGTGAAAAGGCCATCACGGCGACAAGCAATTCCCTTCTCCCTACTAAATCACCTTTTCCACGTCAGCGAACGAGTCCTCCTCGCTGTCCGCGCCCTCGTCGTTCCGCGAAGCCTGCGCGCGAACCAGCCCCCGCCCTCCGCGCCCGCCTTGGCTTTCCCCCAGACTCCGCTTCCGCCAGCGGTCCCTTCCGCGCAACCCATGCGCAAGATGCGGGGGGAGAAGGGGAGCCGATGAGTCAGTGGACTTTCCGCAACCTGCGGAGTTTGCGCTACCGCGACGGCGGCTGCTGCCGCGGAGATTGCCGGCGCGGATGCTCCCGGGGAAGGCGGCGGAAGGCGCAGCAGAGGTGAGCGGGGAAAGGGCGGTGGAGGGCAGCATTATGCGAGGCGGAGGCGGAATGGCAGAATGGCGGAACGGCGGAATGGCGGAAGGGGAAGCGGAGGTGGAGGGAGCTGGGGAGGGGAGGGAGTTGCAAAGCGCGGGCCGCGCTCAAACAGTCGCAACAGCACGTGGTCACCACGGTGTTGTTGCTGTGCTCGTTCCGCGAGAGGGAGCAATACCCGTTATTGGCCGTACTGCTACTGGTGGAATCACCACTAGCGTTGTGCTACAGTTACGTATCCGATCTTTCGGCGCGCACCGTTCGTCCCCTAACCGTTCGTCTCCGTTTTCCACCTCGTACTTACCTACTGTCACTCTTTTATTAAAGTTTTTCCTCTTTGCTGCAGCCCAACCTAACGCTTAATGGCTACCCGCCCCCTAGCCGTTCGTCACCCCTTTTCCACCTGTATTTACTACAGACCGATCGACAAATCCGCGGTGGCGACTTTAATCGCTCTCGAATCGCGCCACGTCGGTTTGCATCCTACAAGTAAGCAAAAAGGGAGCTCCCAACGGCTGAGCGTTTCGGTGGCTTAGGGGCTCAATTCTCCTTTCAGCAGGTACTACCCGAAGCCCTGCCTTGTAGGTACTATCTAGAAGATACGAGAGCTGCTGTACGGGATGGATCCGATTGGATTCCAGCAAACCTGGAGAATGTGGCTCGTGTGCGGTGTGGGCGGCGTAAGGCACGGATTTTAATCGACATATGCGGCTCGTGTACCCTGCACCTTGTGCGGTTGCGCAACCCGTGTGAGACGGGGTGGCGGCGGAAGGGGAGGGGGCGGGCGGAGAGGCGGCGAGAGGACTGTACAGTACTGTAAATGGCGTATGACACTAACGGGGTAAACCTAAGTACTCGCTAAACATGCATACTTCCACAGTGATTCAAGACGGTTCGATGTGTAGCAGTAGGATATTAGCAGGGTACAGTGCGGTATGATCCACTCTCCTAACCTTGAAAGTGATGACGGACAAACGCGAGCAAACGAGCAGAGAGTTATCGCGATGGGCGGGCGTACAAGCTCCCGCGCGCTTCGTGGTGAGGCCCGCTGACGTGTCATTGGAGGCTCCGAACTGTCGATCTTGCCGAGCGGAGCTGATGTGGCCGATACCGAGGGCTGACGCAGTGTAGCTGCTTCTGGAGACGCAAGGTGTGACCAGGTGGAAAACGCGTCTGATTGGAGAATGCTGTGGCGAGCTGACGACACTGGGTACCCCTGTCTACAAATGCTGGCAAGGTAAGGTCAAGGTGCTGTCAAATGAAGGGGGGAAGCATGCGAAAAGTACAGCGACATATTTGAGCCACTCACATCTGGACACGTCCGGGAAACATCTTGCGATCTCCGCCATCATTCTGCTATTGGTGACATGTGTTGTGTGCACCCAGCCTAAAAATCGTCCACAGCAGTCAGGTATGAATCAGGACAGGTTGTGTTTGAAAAGTGCTCGTTATAACTGCTCAGTATGATCGAGATCGTGTGAGGAGGGGCACGGTAGAGTGTTCATAATGACAAGATGTGTGGATAAAAAAGTCTCATGAGGGGTTGTCTCATAAGCGTAAATAAGCAATCTACGTGTTTACGCGTGAAAGAGTAGCATCGCATATGCTATAATGTATATAGATATTCAAACATATGCAGAGTAATTACTGTATTGTGATGCGAATCCGTGGATTTTGGCATGACCACCTCCTTCGTTTGTGCCACTGTACATGGGCTCCTCCCCTGTGCAGCATTCCGTCCTTCCATCGGGCATCAAAACACAGTCCGAACGGACTTTTCAAAATGGTTGAACACGGTACTGAAAGATTTACTAGGCTACAATGCGTTTCAGTACGGCGACTGTTCGAACATGGCCGTTCGAACTGCTTATGTACCAGGCCATGCTCCATCCAATCGCCGTCCTTCCGTTATCGACACCCCTGCCTGCCTCCGCGCCGCACTGCAAAATTTGCACCCAAATTCCGCGCAGGCCTTTTGGCCGTACACTGCTGCCCCCTTCCCCCCCCCCCCACCCCCCCACACCCCCCCCCCCACCCCCCCTTTCCCCTTCCGCACCCTCCCCCTCCCCCCCCCCCCCCCTACACCAACCCCTTCCCCCTTCCCGCCATTCCCCCTTATGGGGGGGTTTCACAGCGCTGTTTCTTGAATTTCCACCATCATAGTGGGTTCGTATTCGCAGAAAGCCGGAGGATTTTGGTCAGCTCTCGCAGCATAAAATCCGTGGATAAGCACCTCGCTTCGCGTCGTTCGTGTTGCCTCTCAGTAATCATGGCGCCGGCACCCCGAGTCGCAGCAGCGATATCGTGCCTTCTCTTCGCTCTCACCGCCAGTCCCGTGCTTTCCGTACCCACTATGGCCGCTTTTCGCGGTGACATCGCGCGCGGCAATAACATCGAGTCGGCTTCTATTGAGGATGATTCCGATGCTCTTGGTGCGCTTGATGCATCCCCGAGGTTTGTCGAGAAGCCGCTCGATCTCGGCTTGGGCGCGTACGAGCGGCCGGAGGGAGGCTTCCTTCGGGTGAACCGCGCGAAGCATGGCGAAAGCATTGGCGGAGGCGAGCCGGACATTCGCCACACGGCTGGTTACTTTCGCCTGAACCGGACACACGACGCTAGGCAAGTGAATCATTCCTCTTTCCTTCTCCTTCCTCCCTCCGCTCTTCGACCACCCCTCCCTATTTCGAGCGCCGTCTCAACCTCCGTTGGAATTGGTTCCGCCGCTCCCCCCCTGTTCGTTTCGCTGTCTCTATTCTCCCTGTACTTGTTTTTTCTCGTCAGGCTGTGCTTCTTTGAGAATTCTAAAAATGACTCCACTGTACTTCCCTCCCTGCCCACGCGGTCCCCCTATCCCCTCCCCCTCCGCCCACGCGATCCCCCTATCCACTCCCCCTCCGCCCACGCGGTCCCCGTTTCCCCTCCTCACCCCCCCGCCTCTTCCGCAGGCTGTTCTATTTCTACTTCGAGTCGCGCGGCGACAAGGACACGGCGCCGCTGGTGCTGTGGATGACGGGCGGGCCGGGGTGCAGCAGCGAGATCGCGCTCTTCTTCGAGAACGGCCCCTTCACCATTAACAACGACAACGCGTCGCTCTCCTGGAACCCTTACGGATGGGACATGGTGCGTGCGTGGTACGGAAGGGAGGAAGTGAGGAAGGGAGGAAGTGAGGAACCTGTGGGTGAGAGAGGGGAGGGGGCGTGTGTGTTTGCGAGAGGGGAGGGGAGGAGAGGGGACGTGTGAGTGTGTGGGTGCGAGTGTATGTGTATGAGAAAGAGGAGGGGCGGAAGGGGAGGGAGTGATAAACAGCGAGTAAGTGTGTAGGTCCACAACTAACATGACGCCTCGCGGTTTCGTTCGCAATCCTCACTCCCCCTACTACCTCGCCTACTCTCCCCCCTCCTGTCCCCTCTCCCCCTTGCGTCTCCCCCCCTCCCCCACACTCCCCCCCCCGCCCCCTCTGGGTGTCCAACATTATCCACGTGGACTAGCCTGTCAACACGGGGCTCAGGCTAACCCTCACGCCCCCTGTCGTCCTCCCTTCCCCCCTCGTGCACACCATGCTCCCTCCCATCCCCCCCCACCGCTCCCCCCCGCCCTCCGGGTGTCCAACATTATCCACGTGGACTAGCCTGTCAACACGGGGTTCAGCTACAGCCCCTACCCCCGTCCGGCCCCACTCGTGCACTCCCTCTCCCTTCCCCCTGTGTCGTTAGCCATGATCGAGACGAGCAGCAGTGTAAACAAAACGTTTAGCAAAAGATTGACTGTAAAAATACTCAAGTTGCCCGTGTGAGTAGCCAAAGATCTCAGAAAGCTGAATTCAGCTTCGATTCAAAAGATTAAAGCAAACATGTTTCGACGTCCAAGGTAAAGATTCTAGAACATCTTCATCAGTGCAGAATGAAGCTTTGCAAGTGAGTAAGAGAAGCTCTTAAGCAAGAGACTCCTCGACAGTACCCAAAATCTAGGCATGCAACAACCAAGGCTGAAATCTGGGCAGCCAATCCTGGACACCCTGGAAAAAATCCTGGGGCCAAGTCTTCAAACCTCGAGGCGTTGTCGTGTAAATGTCACAATTCGCCAGCTGGTGGCTTCGGGAGCCTCGCGCGCACAAGTAACTGTTGAATGTTACGCCCAGCCTTCCAAGCAACAAAAATCCTCTGTGTAAAAACCGCGTGATAGAAGTCTAGTTTTGAGGCGCCTCAAAACTAGCCCCACTCGTGCGCTCCCTCTCCCTTCCCCCTGTGTCTCCCACTTCCCGTGCTCCTTCCCCGCCCTCCCTCCCTGCAGGTGTCGAACATCATCTACGTGGACCAGCCGGTGAACACGGGGTTCAGCTACAGCCACGACCCGCGAGACATGCGCCACACGGAGGATGGCGTCAGCCAGGACATGTACGAGTTCCTGCAGGTCAGTTTCCCTAGTCCGATGCAAACCAGTTCCGCTGCCCTGCAGGTCAGTTCCTGCAGGTCAGTTCCTGCAGGTCAGTTCCTGCAGGTCAGTTCCTGCAGGTCAGTTTCTTCTGCAAACCAGTTCCGCTTCCCTTCTCCACTGCCCTTCTCCACTGCCCTTCTCCGCTGCCTCTGCTCCTCTCCTCCTCCTTCGCACACGGAGGACGGCGTCAGCCAGGACATCTACGAGTTCCTGCAGGTGAGATCCCTCGTCAGATGCCTGCTACAGGTGAGTTCTCTGCGAACCAGTTCCGCTGCCCTTCGCCGCTGCCTCTCCTGCTCTACTCCTCTCTCGCACACGGGGGACGGCTCCTCTGTTCCCCCCGTCAACAGTAGTTCTTTCTGGCTCACCCCGAGCTCCAGGGTCGGGCGTTCTACATCATGGGAGAGTCGTACGGGGGGCACTACATCCCTGCTGCTCGCCTAGTGTCGTACCCCATCTTCCCCATCTTCCCCCATCTTCCCCCATCTTCCCCCATCTTCCCCCATCTTCCCCCATCTTCCCCCATCTTCCCCCATCTTCCCCCATCTTCCCTCATCTTCCCCCATCTTCCCCCATCTTCCCCCATCTTCCCCCATCTTCCCCCATCTTCCCCCATCTTCCCCCATCTTCCCCCATCTTCCCCCATCTTCCCCCATCTTCCCCCATCTTCCCACCCCCCCTCCCCCGTCCTCCGTTCCCCCTGTCAACAGGAGTTCTTTCTGGCTCACCCGGAGCTCCAGGGCCGGGAGTTCTACATCACAGGCGAGTCGTACGGGGGGCACTACATCCCTGCTGTGGCGGACCGGGTGGTTATCGGCAACAGGCGCAAGCAGGGCCTGCCCATTAACCTCAAGGTTGGTACCAGCCGGGGGGTGATGGAAGGGGTGGGGAGCGGGGGAAGGTTGGAGCAGTGGGGGGAGAGGGGAGGGGCACTACATCCCTTCAGTGGCGGACCGGGTGGTGACTGGCAACAGGCGCAAGCAGGGCCGGCCCATCAACCTTAAGGTGTGTACCAGCGGGGGGGTGAGGGAAGGGGCGTGGCGAGGGGGACGGTTGCAGAGGGGAAGGGGCACTACATCCCTTCAGTGGCGGACCGGGTGGTGACTGGCAACAGGCGCAAGCAGGGCCGGCCCATTAACCTCAAGTCAAGTCTGTGCGTATAGGTGCATACGGAGGTGCTCTTTCTCAGCTAATCCGTCCGTCCGTATAGGAGCACTCAACAAGTACTCCGAGCACCCTCCCTCCCCCTTTCCCCTGTATCTCCCAGTATTCCCTGTCCCCCCCCCCCCCCCCCCCCCTAAGGCTCCCTCGCCTCTGGATAAGCAAACAGAGAGTGGCCATTGGTGACAGCATGATGCACTCCCTCACTCCAAGGCGCCTCCTCTCTCTCACCCACTTACCCCCTTCACCGCCCTCCCGCCCACCTTTGAATCGAACAGGGAGTGGCGATTGGCAACGGATTGACCCACCCGGAGGTCAAGATTCCGGATTGGCTTCCCCGTGTTCTCTCACTCCGGTGGCCTGCTGTCTCCTCCCCCCCCCCCCCCCCTCTTCCCTTCACCGCCCTCCCGTCCCCTCCCCGCCTTTGACTCGAACAGGGAGTGGCGATCGGCAACGGCATGACCCACCCCGAGGTGCAGTTCCCCAGCTACCCCGTGTTCGCCCACTCGCGTGGCCTCCTCACGGACCAGCAGCTGCAGCACTTCCGGCTCTGGAGCAAGCCCTGCCACTTCGCCGCCCACTCCTGCGGTCAGTCCCTAGGGATTCAAGGAAAGAAGAGAGGGGGTGGGAGGGGGTGCAGGGGTTTGATTTGAGATAAGGGAGAAGGGGGGAGGGGGGGGGTGTGCAGGGGTTTGGTTTGAGATAAGGGAGAAGGGGGGGGGGGGTGCAGGGGTTTGATTTGAGATAAGGGAGAAGAGGGGGGGGGGGGGGGGCGGGATTGAGGGATTGCGACCTGGTAATTTTGAGTTTACGGTTGGAGCAATTTTCTTGCCTAGGATCTAACTCTCTCTTTCTTTTTGCTCAAGCGATCTACTGTGTAGCGCTGCTCTTCCCAAACCATGAGTGACGATAGGGGAGAAGGGGGGGGGGGATTGAGATCTGACGCTCCTGCGGTCGGACTGTAGGGATTGAGTGTTGGGGTCCGGGTTTCGGGTTCAGGGTTAAGGTTTAGAGGGAATGGGGAAGAGGGGTGGAGGGTCAGGAGGTGGGGGATACAGAGGTGGTGGGGGGAAGTTGGCGTTGGGGGATGTGGAATGTGGCATTGGGTGTACCTGTGGAGGTTTTTTTTTGTTTTTGTTTTTGTTTTTTTTTTCCTTCAAAGAACACCTACAGCTAAAAAATGGTGAAGCAAACTTGCTCTCCTCTCTCGTCCCCTCACCCTCTTTACTCTCCCCGTTTCTCCCTCTTGTGCTCCCTCCCTCGCTCGTCCCCCCACCCTCTTTACTCTCCCCATGTTTCCCTCCTGTGCTCTCGCCCCCATTTGTCTCCCCGTCCCCTCTCCCGTCGGACCACTCCTTTCTTCTCCATCCTCGACTTTTCTGGACCCCCATGTATTTCAGCTGCATTCGACCCCTCTCCCCGCTCCCCTCTCCCCTCTCTTCTCTTCATTCCTCGCTCACCCCACGCTCACCTCTCCTCCCCTGCCGCCTGATCCCTTCGCTTCGCCTGACCCCCACCATCAGGCGAGTCTGGTCGCTTTAGCTGCGGTGCAGCATTTATCATCTGCGAGCTCGACCTCCTCTCTCCTTGGTCCTAAACCCTCCCTCTCCCCCTTCTCCTCTCCTTCCCACTACCCCTCCCTCCTTCCCCCACGCCCTTTACCCCACATCCACCCACCTCTTGTGTCTTCCTCCAGGCGAGTCTGGTCGCATCAGCTGCGCTGCGGTGCAGCATTTATCATCTGCGAACAGTTCTGGGGCTCCGACCTCCTCCCTCCCTACTCCTAAACCCTCCCTCTCCCCCTTCTCCTCTCCTACCCACTCTCCCCACCTCCTTCCCGCACTCCTCTCTCCCCCACTCGCATCCACCCATCTCTTGCATCTTTCCCCCCGGTCAGGCGAGTCCGGTCGCATCAGCTGCAGTGCCCCGTTCATCATCCATGCGAGCAGTCCTGGGAATTTGACCTCCTCCCTACTCCTCAACACTCCCTCTCCCCCTTCTCTCCTCCTACCCGGCCTGTCTCGCCCTCAACCCTCTCTCTTCCCCCCGATCAGGCGAGTCCGGTCGCATCAGCTGCGGTGCACCGTTCATCATCCGCGCGAGCAGTTCTGGGGCTCCGATCTCTTCCCTTCCTGCTCGTTAACACCCTCCCTCTCCGCCTTCTCTCCTGCCCACTGCCCCCCCCCTCTCCCTCCTTCCTGCTCGCCCTTCTCCCCCACACCCATCTCTCGCATCTTTCCCCCGGTCAGGCGAGTCCGGTCGCATCAGCTGCGGTGCGGCGTTTATCATCTGCGAGCAGTTCTGGGGCTCCGTGTATGCCGCCACGGGCTCAGGCCACCTCAACGTACGTGCCCCTTGCTCCCAGTGCATGCTCCCCCTTGCCCCTTCCTCTCTTTGAGACGGCTCATAAGGTGCCTCGGTAGCTGTCGTGCATGCTCCCAGTTCTGGGGCTCTGTGTACACCGCCACGGGCTCAAGCCACCTCAACGTACGTGCCCCTTGCTCCCAAAGCTCGCTCATACATACAGTGCCTTGGTTGCTGTTGTGCACGCTCCCTGCTCTGGGTCTCCGTGTTTACTGTCACGGGCTCAGGCCACCTCAACGTATGCACTGCACGCTCCTGCTCTTCCGTACCCTTGCGTCGTTTCTGAGGGGCATTGAACACATTGAACTGGTAGTCGTCATGATGATGTGCTGTTGTTGTGAGCCGAGCTGACTCAACACACAGCTGGTAACCATGATGCCTTTCTCCAGTTCTGGCGTGTCATCAATGCGGCTTCTGTGCCCCTCTGCCCCTTCCTTCCCCCTCTTCCCCCAAACCCTCTCTTCCTTTTACTCCCCTGCCTACCAGCCGTGCGATGTGCGCATTGAGTGTGGCGACGACCCTCTCTGCTACGACATGTCAAGTTCCTCGCGCTCCCCTGGGTGTGAGAGGCGCTCGGAGGGCGGCAGTTTTAATGTACCTGTGCCCATCTCCCCTTCCCTGCGAGTTGACTTTTGAGTCGACTCAAAAGTCACCTTGGAGGGCTGCACTATTGATGTGCCTGTGCCCGTCTCCCCTTCCCTCCCTGCGGCTCTTTGCCAATCACACAGCCGTACGATGTGCACATTGAGTGCGGCGACGACCCCCTATGCTACGACATGTCAGCCGCCGACAAGTTCCTCGTGCTCCCCTGGGTGCGGGAGGCGCTGGGAGGGTGGCACTATTAAAGCACCTGTGCCTGTGCCCATCTCCCCTTCCCTACGAGTTGACTTTTGAGTCGACTCAAAAGTCACCTGGGAGGGCGGCACTATTAATGTACCTGTGCCCATCTCCCCTTCCCTGCGGCCCGTTGCCAATCACACAGCCGTACGATGTGCGCATTGAGTGCGGTGACGATCCCCTCTGTTACGACATGTCAGCGGCTGACAAGTTCCTGGCGCTCCCCTGGGTGCGGGAGGCACTGGGCGTGGGCGACCTCAAGTGGGAGAGCTGCAGCAGCAGCGTGTACCGCGCGATGCTCTTCGACTTCATGAGGGACCTCGCGCCCAAGGTGCCGCACCTGCTGGCGGCTGATGTGCGCGTGCTGGTGTATGCTGGGGATGCTGATTACATCTGCAACTGGATTGGTGAGTGGAAGAGGGGGGAAGAGTTGGGAAGGGGGGGATGGGGAAGGGAAGTGGGGAAGTGGGGTGGGGGAAAGCGGGGGGGGGGGGGGGGAGACAGACAGGTGGTGGGTATGGGCGCTCTTGAAGTGGGAGAGCTGCAGCAGCAGTGTGTACCGCGCGATGCTGTTCGACTTCATGAGGGACCTCGCGCCCAAGGTTCCCCATTGGCTCGCAGCTGATGTGCGGGTGCTGGTGTATGCTGGCAATGCGGATTATTTTTTAGGCGCCTCAAAAATAGACTCCTCATGCTGCCGATGCGGATTACATCTGCAACTGGAACGGTGAGTGGAAGAGGGGGGAAGGGGGAAGGGGGGGGGGGGGGGGGGGGGGGGGGTGAAAGCGGCTGCCTCTGCATACCCTTCAGGTAAGGGCTGCTTACCATACGCCAAGGGCGTTTTGAGACGACATGAACCACTGTCGTTTTCCGTTTCTCTCTCATACCCTTCAGGTAACCCGTGGTGGGTGAACGCCCTCAAGTGGCCCTGCACAGCGCCACAAAATATTTGTTGAGAATTCTCAAGAAGTCGCCCTGAAGTGGGCCCGCATGGCCTGCATGGCCTGCATGGCCTGCATGGCCTGCATGGCCTGCATGGCCTGCATGGCCTGCATGGCCTGCATGGCCTGCATGGCCTGCATGCCTGCCATGGCCTGCATGGCCTGCATGGCCTGCATGGCCTGCATGGCCCTGCATGGCCTGCATGCCTGCATGGCCTGCATGGCCTGCCTCATGGCCCTGCATGGCCATGCATGGCCTGCCATGGCCTGCATGGCCTGCATGGCCTGCATGCCGCATCCCTGCATGGCCTGCATGGCCTGCATGGCTGCATGGCTGCATGGCCTGCATGGCCTGCATGCCTGCATGCCGCGCCTGCATGCCTGCACCCGCCTGCATGCCTGCATCCTGCTGCCGCATGCCTGCATGCCCCCCCTCCTGCTGCCCATGGCCTCGCCCATCCTGCAGGCCTGCATGCCTGCATGGCCTGCATGGCCTGGCATGGCCTGCATGCCTGCATGGCCTGCATGGCCTGCATGGCCTGCATGGCCTGCATGGCCTGCATGGGCCTGCATGCCTGCATGCCTGCATGGCCTGCATGGCCTGCATGGCCTGATGGCCTGCATGGGCAGGCCTGCATGGCCTGCATGGGCCTGCATGGCCTGCATGGCCTGCATGGCCTGCATGGCCTGCATGGCCTGCATGGCCGCATTGCATGGCCTGCATGGCCTGCATGGCCTGCATGGCCTGCATGGCCTGCATGGCCTGCCCATGGCCCATGCCTGCATGGCCTGCATGGCCTGCATGGCCTGCATGGCCTGCATGGCCTGCATGGCCTGCATGGCCTGCATGCCCATGGCCTGCATGGCCTGCCATGGCCTGCATGGCCTGCATGGCCTGCATGGCCTGCATGGCCTGCATGGCCTGCATGCTCATGGCCGCATGGCTGCATGGCCTGCATGCCTGCATGGCCTGCATGGCCTGCGGCCTGCATGGCCTGCATGGCCTGCATGGCCTGCATGGCCTGCATGGCCTGCATGGCCTGCATGGCCTGCATGGCCTGCATGGCCTGCATGGCCTGCATGGCCTGCATGGCCTGCATGGCCTGCATGGCCTGCATGGCCTGCATGGCCTGCATGGCCTGCATGGCCTGCATGGCCTGCATGGCCTGCATGGCCTGGCATGGCCTGCATGGCCTGCATGGCCTGCATGGCTGCATGGCCTGGCATGGCCTGCATGCCTGCATGGCCTGCATGGCCTGCATGGCCTGCATGGCCTGCATGGCCTGCATGCCTGCATGGCCTGCATGGCCCTGCATGGCCTGCATGGCCCTGCATGGCCTGCATGGCCTGCATGGCCTGCATGCATGGCCTGCATGGCCTGCATGGCCTGCATGGCCTGCATGGCCTGCATGGCCTGCATGGCCTGCATGGCCTGCATGGCCTGCATGGCCTGCATGGGCCTGCATGCCTGCATGGCCTGCATGGCCTGCATGGCCTGCATGGCCTGCATGGCCTGCATGGCCTGCATGGCCTGCATGGCCTGCATGGCCTGCATGGACCTGCATGGCACTGCATGGCCTGCATGGCCTGCATGGCCTGCATGGCCTGCATGGCCTGCATGGCCTGCATGGCCTGCATGGCCTGCATGGCCTGCATGGCCTGCATGGCCTGCATGGCCTGCCATGGCCTGCATGGCCTGCATGGCCTGCATGGCCTGCATGGCCTGCATGGCCTGCATGGCCTGCATGGCCTGCATGGCCTGCATGGCCTGCATGGCCTGCATGCCGCATGGCCTGCATGGCCTGCATGGCCTGCATGGCCTGCATGGCCTGCATGGCCTGCATGGCTGCATGGCCTGCATGGCCTGCATGGCCTGCATGGCCTGCATGGCCTGCATGGCCTGCATGGCCTGCATGACCTGCATGGCCTGCATGGCCTGCATGGCCTGCATGGCCTGCATGGCCTGCATGGCCTGCATGGCCTGCATGGCCTGCATGGCCTGCATGGCCTGCATGGCCTGCATGGCCTGCATGGCCTGCATGGCCTGCATGGCCTGCATGGCCTGCATGGCGCATGCCTGCATGGCCTGCATGGCCTGCATGGCCTGCATGGCCTGCATGGCCTGCATGGCCTGCATGGCCTGCATGGCCTGCATGGCCTGCATGGCCTGCATGGCCTGCATGACCTGCATGGCCTGCATGGCCTGCATGGCCTGCATGGCCTGCATGGCCTGCTGGCCGCATGGCCTGCATGGCCTGCATGGCCTGCATGGCCTGCATGGGCCTGCATGGCCTGCATGGGGCCTGGTGCATGGCCTGTGGCGATGGCCTGCATGGCCTGCATGGCCTGCATGGCTGCATGGCCTGCATGGCCTGCATGGGCCTGCATGGGCATGGGCATGGCCTGGGCTGCATGGCCTGCATGGCCTGCATGGCCTGTGGGCATGGGCCTGCATGGCCTGCATGGCCTGCATGGCCTGCATGCCTGCATGGCCTGCATGGCCTGCATGGCCTGCATGGCCTGCATGGCCTGCATGGCCTGCATGGCCTGCATGGCCTGCATGGCCTGCATGGCCTGCATGCCATGGCCTGCATGGCCTGCATGCCTGCATGGCTGCATGGCCGCAATGCCTGCATTGGCCTGCATGGCCTGCATGGCCTGCATGGCCTGCATGGCCTGCATGGCCTGCATGGCCTGCATGGCCTGCATGGGCCTGCATGGCCTGCATGGCCTGCATGGCCTGCATGGCGCATGGCCTGCAGGCGCATGGCCTGCATGGCCTGCATGGCCTGCATGGCCTGCATGGCCTGCATGGCTGCATGGCCGCATGGGCCTGCAGGCCTGCATGGCTGCATGGCCTGCATGGCCTGCATGGCTGCATGGCCTGCATGGCTGCATGGCCTGCATGGCTGCATGGCCTGAGGCGCATGGCCTGCATGGCCGATGGCTGCATGGCCTGCATGGCCTGCATGGCCTGCATGGCTGCATGGCCTGCATGGCCTGCATGGCCTGCATGGCCTGCATGGCCTGCTGGCTGCATGGCCTGCATGGCCTGCATGGCCTGCATGGCCTGCATGGCCGCAGGGCCTGCATGGCCTGCATGGCCTGCATGGCCTGCATGGCCTGCATGGCCTGCATGGCCTGCATGGCCGCATGGCTGCATGGCCTGCTGGCTGCATGGCCTGCATGGCCTGCATGGCCTGCATGGCCTGCATGCGCATGGCCTGCATGGCCTGCATGGCCTGCATGGCCTGCATGGCCTGCATGGCCTGCATGGCCTGCATGGCCTGCATGGCCTGCATGGCCTGCATGGCCTGCATGGCCTGCATGGCCGCATGGCCTGCATGGCCTGCATGGCCTGCATGGCCTGCATGGCCTGCATGGCCTGCATGGCCTGCATGGCCTGCATGGCCTGCATGGCCTGCATGGCCTGCATGGGCCTGCATGGCCTGCATGGCCTGCATGGCCTGCATGCCTGCATGGCCTGCATGGCCTGCATGGCCTGCATGGCCTGCATGGCCTGCATGGCCTGCATGGCCTGCATGGCCTGGTGCATGGCCTGCATGGCCTGCATGGCCTGCATGGCCTGCATGGCTGCATGGCCTGCGGCGCATGGCCTGCATGGCCTGCATGGCCTGCATGCTGCATGGCCTGCATGGCCTGCATGCTGCATGGCCTGCATGGCCTGCATGGCCTGCATGGCCTGCATGGCCTGCATGGCCTGCATGGCCTGCATGGCCTGCATGGCCTGCATGGGGGCCTGCATGGCCTGCATGGCCTGCATGGCCTGCATGGCCTGCATGGCCTGCATGGCCTGCATGGCCTGCATGGCCTGCATGGCCTGCATGGCCTGCATGGCCTGCATGGCCTGCATGGCCTGCATGGCCTGCATGGCCTGCATGGCCTGCATGGCCTGCATGGCCTAATTACGCCAGGAAATCTTCTGAGGCAGCCCGAAGCAACCAAACCACATGCCCCCCATAACCGTGTCACTCTCTCTCTAAGCCTCTTCGCCGTTCTCCTCCCCACTTTCGTTGGTAACTTCTGGTGGGTGAACGCGATGACGCAGTGGCCCAGAACAGCAAGGCGCTCCACGCCAATGGCTTTCCGAGTCGACTCTACACTGCCTCCTTCCCCCCCGCTATCCTGCTTGGCTTGTCTTTCCCCTCCGTTTCCTTCCAGGCAACTCGTGGTGGGTGAACGCCATGAAGTGGCCGGGCAAGGCCGGCTACGCCAAGGCCCCGTGGCGCCCCTTCGTTGTCAACGGCCAGACGGCTGGGTCGGGACGCATTGCCGAGCCCCTCTCCTTCCTGCGGGTGAGAAGCTTACTAGCTCACTAGCTTACTAGCCATCTCATGGCGCCCCTTCGTTGGCAACGGGCAGACGGCTGGGTCCGCGCGCATCGCCGAGCCTCTCTCCTTCCTGGGGGTGAGTTGCCCCTCCTCTCGTCGGGCGAGTACTGACACATCTCAGAATAGAGTAATGAGCACGCAGCCCCGTGGCGCCCCTTTGTTGTCAACGGGCAGACTGCTGGGCCACTGGGTGAGTTTCTCTTCACTCAGCATCAATATCCAAGGCGAGAGAGGCTTCTATTAAGCCAAGGCTCATGGCGCCCATGGATCAGCCCGAGGCGTCTCTCGAGATGCTTCCGGCGCTTCATCCTCAATTCGCAATCCCAAGACTCCTGCTTCCCGTTCCGTCCTCCTTCCTCCCTCCCTTTGCCTCTTGTTCTTCCCCACCCTCCCTTCGCCCCCTCCTCCTTCTCCTCCTCCTCCTCCTCCTCCTCCTCCTCCTCCTCCTCCTCCTCCTCCTCCTCCTCCTCCTCCTCCTCCTCCTCCTCCTCCTCCTCCTCCTCCTCCTCCTCCTCCTCCTCCTCCTCCTCCTCCTCCTCCTCCTCTCCCCCTCTTCCCCCCCTTGCCCCCACCCCCCTCCCTTCAGGTGCACGAGGCGGGGCACATGGTGCCCATGGATCAGCCCGAGGCCTCTCTGGAGATGCTAAGGCGCTTCATCCTCAACCTGCCGCTGCTCGACGGCTCAGATCTCCAGGCAGGGCCGAACGGCGAGATGGACGGCTCAGAAGGGCTCGAGGAGCTGGTTGGCGTGGAGGTTGTTGGCTCTGGTGCCGAGGCTGCTGGTGGTGCTGCTGATGGTCGTACTGCTGCTGGTGTTGCTGTGGCTGAAGCTGCAGATGTGCTGGTTGCAGTGGAATAGGTTGCTGCTGCTGTTGCTGCTGCTGTTGTTTGAGAGAGGAGCAGTGGTGTGGGGTACTGCTGGTGCAGCAGCATCCTTTGCATGGGGTCACATTGGGCACCTGGGCCTCGGATCAGACGCTGCAGCGATGCTGCTTGTGGCACTGTGCATGCATGGCTTGTGCTCCATAGAATGTTTTTGAGGCGCCTAAAAAATATGGGTCTGTAGTCTGTAGTCTGTACCATGCCAATAGTACCGGTGGCAAGTGGTACCTAGCATCTGCAAAGTATTGTCGCCAGATCTTGGGTGGGGGGGTGTGTTGTGCATTCTATTTGCCTACAACCGCTGCTGTTTTCCAGAGATTTTTCCAGTGGTCACAATTGTTCCAGTTTGACTGTTAGGTCGTGTTGCAGAGAAAAAAGGTGCAGTACCTTGTGTACAGTCTCTAAGTGTTAACTTATACATATATCTGAATGTAGAAGTTATAGGCTAGATAGGAGTGTGTTCTTAGAGAGTACAACCCAAACCCTACATCTCCCTTGTTCTCTCTTGTTTCTAATCATTCTAGTATTCTAACATGGTATCATGAGTAGGTTAGGTCCGCCCACCCGTTTCCGCCCCTCGCCCTAGCCTACTGCGCCTCGCTGACCCCTAGGGCACCCGCCGGCCCTTAGCGTGCCCGTCGTCCCCTCGCGCCTAGCCGGCCCCTCGAGCCCAGCTGGCCCCTCGCGCCCAGCCGGCCCCTCTCACACCGTAGCCGGCCCCACGCACCTAGCCGGCCCCTCGCGCCTAGCCGGCCCATCGCGCCCAGCCGGCCCCTCGCGCCTAGCCAGCCCCTCGCGTGCTCGTCGGCCCCTCGCGCCTAGCCGGCCCCTTAGCCTCTCGACGGTCCCTCGTGCCTAGCTGGCCCCTCGCGCCTAGCCGGCCCCTCGCGCGCCTAGTCGGCCCTTAGCGCCCTGCCGGCTCTGCGCGTCTCGGGCCCTGCGTGCCTCGGGCCCTCCTCGGCCTCCCGCCTGGTTTTCCAGACGGAGAGCCCTGCCGTTGTGCCGCTGAGTACTTGTGTCGCTGTGATGCCGTGTACCCGTGCCGCTGTGCCGCCGTAACTCTGTGCCGCCGTGTCGCTGTGCCGCTGTGGACCTGTGTCGCTGACGTTGCGCGATGGCGGACGCCGTACTTCGGCTGGACGCGGAGGGGCACCCAATCGACTTCTCCGCCTGGCTTGTCGATCTCCGCCGGCACCTGACAGGTCAGCGCCAGGATGGGCACTCCCTGGCTATGCACGTTGATGGCTTGCTTCCCCGCTCCTCTGCGCATGATCCCCTCCCTGCTGACCCCACCATTGATGAGAGTGAGGCCTTTGTTGCTGCTGCGCTCGCTCGCGCTGTCTGGGATTCTCGCGATGCTATAGCGTAGCTCGCCATTAGTCATGCGTTTCCCTTGTCTGAGCGTACGTGCTTCACTGTTGTCGCGAACGCCAAGGACTTCCTACATGCAGTAGTTGCGTGCTACTCCACCCCTGCCTCCGCCTTCGCTGGCCGCTTGATCCTCCCCATGCTATTCCCTGATCTTTCCGCTTTCCCCACTGTCGCTGACCTCGCTACTCACCTCCGTGCACTAGAGACTAGCTACCGCGCTGCTAGCACTACCGCCCAGCTCACTGCCTTCCCCCCACCGTTGTGCTCTACCCTGTACCGTATTGCCATGCGCCTGCCTGACCGCTTAGCCACTGCCCGCGACCACTTCCTTAGCCAACACCCTGGCGACCTCACCCTGACCGCCTTTGTCACTGCTCTCTCTGAGATAGAGACTCGCCAGCGCACTATCGCTCAGTCGAGCGGTGTTGCGGCAGTCCCTATCTTTCAGGGCTGTGCTCCCTCCCAGTGCACGTACGCTGACATCTCCGCCGCGGTTGCCATGCCTGCCCCTGCCACTGAGACCGCAGCTGCGGCTTTCCCGCAGCAGCGACAACGTCGGGGCCGCCGCGGCCCCAAGGGAGGGCGTGGTGGTGGCGCTGGTGGTGGCGGGGACAGTGGTTCTGACGAGGGGGTTGGAGATGGTGTCCAGGAGCAGCAGCAGACACAGCAGCAGCAATCGCCGCAACAGCCATGGGCCCACCTCCCGCCGGAGTGGCCAGGAGCACCAGGCGGTGGTGACCGCGGTGGCGGCCCCCGCAGCTCAGCGTCTACCGGCGGCTTCGGTGCTGTGAGCTGCCAGTACCAGCTCCAGACCGGGCGCCTTCGTGGCACTGTGTGCCGCCGCGCGCACCCGACCGCCCCTTGCTTCCGCCGTCTCGACGGCCTCTTTCGTTGCCGCTTCGGCTTGGCTCCGGACCTCCCTGACTGGCCTAGTCTGCTATGCCACGGTATACCCGTTTTTGACTTAGATATGGATAAGATTAGTTCTACCGTGCATTCTCTGTATGCTGATGCTTCTAGTGTGTTCGGATCGTATTACTCTGTGTTCTCTAGCTTAGGCGTAGCACCTATGTTTAGTACACACTCCTCTGTTGCGTTAGGCGTAGGACCCTTTGCTTTGTCTAGCCTAGGCTCTACACTAGCCCCTCCTTTGTCTGCCGCTCCTTCTTCGCCGTCCTTCACACTTGCCTCCGGTGCGTCTACCTGCTTCTTCCACGACCGCGCCACACTTACGCCGCTTGCAGTGCCTGCCGTTGTCGCATTTGCTGACCCCTCTGCCGGTCCAGTCGTTGCTCGCAGCTATATAACCTTTCCCTGTCCAGCGGTTCCCTCAGGTTCCCTTACAGGCTTGCACGTCCATTCGTTCTCCAGGAGCTTAGTTGGTGTCGGTTGTCTTCAGGACCTCGGCGTCACCACTACGTTCCCTGGTCATGAGCGGTACGCTGTCTGTACCGAGGCCGCCTCAGGTTCCCCCCTTGCGACGTTCCCCCAGGACCCGGTGTCTGGCTTGTTTACGCTGGACACTATTTCCCCACCGGTTTGGGCGTCCTCCCCAGGCCCTGCGTCTACCCAGGTCGCTGCTGCTTGCTCATGTCGGTCGCTCACTCACCCGTCGCTCCTGTGGCACCACCGCCTCGGTCATCCTGCACTCCCGCGTCTGCGTCATATGTCCCGGCACGGTCTCGTCCTAGGTCTCCCTACGTCGCTTCCTGCCCTCCCTCCCTCACCTGCGATGCCGTGCACGCCCTGCGTCGAGGGCCGGCTGCGCCGTGCTCCTCACTCCTCCTCGCTTCGCCCTGCCACCGCACCCCTCCAGACCCTGCACCTGGACGCTGGGGCCCAGCCCCCGTCCCTCGACCTCGTCGCAAGCGCTACTTTCTCGTGCTCATCGAAGACTACACGCGCTACACCACAGTGTTTCCCCTGGAGCGGAAGGTCGACGTTCCGGGCGTTCTTATCCCATGGGTCGTAGCTGCGCGCCTCCACCGTGGTCTCCCTGTGCTGTATCTCCACTCCGACCATGGCGGCGAGTTCGCCTCTGGTCAGCTTGGACATTTCTGTCGTGCGGAGGGCATCGCCCACTCGTACACCCTATTGGACTCCCCGCAGCAGAATGGGGTCACTGAGTGAAGCATCGGTTAGGTCATGGAGGTGGCTCGCACCTCCATGATTCATGCAGGTGCACCCCAATTCTATGGCCGTTCGCCGTTCGCTACGCCGCTCACCAGCTTAACCTGTGGCCGCGCTCCCAGCGGCCCTGGTTTCGCCGACCCTTCTTTGGACCGGGTTCCCTGGTAACACGTTTGCGTTCCACATCTAGGGTTGCCTCGCTCACGTTCGTGCCTCTAGCACGGACAAGCTCACTGCCCGCACGGTCCCCCGTGTCTTCCTAGGTTTTCCCCTTGACTCGTCTGACTGGCACTAGTACCACCCGCCGTCTCACCGCTTCTTTCACTCCGTAACGCTACTTTTGATGAGTTTGTCTCCTTTTAACACCGCTTTCCCCACCGAGGTCTCCCAGTTTCCCCTCCCTTGTTTCCGGTTCCCACTCCCCCGGTAGCCCTTGCTCACCTCCCTCCCAGCAGCCGCCGCCGATGTCCGCCCTTCGCCTGCTCGGCCTTCCCTCCCCTGACCGCTCGCCTGCGCCTCCCCCGCTGCCTCCTCTGCCAGTCTACGGCCCTGTGCTCCCTCCGCCGGACTCGTCTCTGACTTGTCTTCCCCCTCGTTCCCCTCTTGTGTCTCCTCCTCTGTCTCCTGACCCGACGCGTGCGTCTCACGTCTGATCTCGCCGTCCCTCTCGTGCTCGTCCTGTCTCTTCCGTTCAGCATTCTCACCCTATGTTGCTTCGTTCCCACGCGTCTCGTCCTCCCCTCCTGCCTTCGCCTCCTCCGTCGTTGCTCGCTGTCGCGCCTCCCCCTCTGTCTGGCTACCTTCGTGCAGCTCGTCCTCTTGTTCCTCGGGTCCTTGCCTCCCTAGTTCCCGACCTGTCTGTTCCTGTCTTGAGTCTTGACGCTCTTGTCGCTGCTGTCGCTGACTTCGCCTCTACCCGCCGCCTTGACTACGCCACCACTCTGGTCTCTGACCTTGTCTGTCCTCTGTCCCTCGGGGGTGCTCCTGCCCTTGGCAGTGACGTCCTAGAGGACAAGCAGTACGAGCTTGCTTTCCTGTCCGAGGATGCTCCCCATCGCTGTTCCATGCTGCTAGTCCCTGAGGGTGACCCAGACACCTTTGACATCCCAACCCCTCGCACTTACGTCGAGGCGACCTCGGGACCCTGGGCCTCTCAGTGGATAGCTGCTATGGAGCAGGAGCCTGCGTATAGCCACGCGAGGCTATTGGCTTTAAGGGATTACAGCAGGATTACGCTAGATATAGCGCACCAGTACATCCCAAGCCTGGTCGGTGATATAATTATAATAGCAGGATAAACCAAAGGTTAATGGAAAATGGAGAATAAGAAACCAAATGAGATGGGATAAAAAGAGAAATGAAAATAGGAAGGAAGTAAGGAAAGGCCAAGTGGTGTAACGAGGTCGTACTCTCACATCGGCGTCACCACTACGTTCCCTGGTCAGGAGCGGTATGCGGTCTGTACCGAGACCGCCTCTGGTGCCTCCCTTGCGATGTTCCCCCGAACCCGGTGTGTCTGGCCTGTTTACGAACGACACTGCTTCCCCCCCGGTGGGCGCGTCCTCCCCGGGTCCTGCGTCTACCCAGGTTGCTGCGGCTTGCTCGTGTCGGTCGCTCACTCACCCGTCGGTTCTGTGGCACCACCGCCTAGGTCACCCCGCGCTCCCGCGACTGCGTCACATGTCTCAGCACGGTCTCGTCCTAGGCCTCCCTGCATTGCTCCCTACCCTCCCTCCCTCGCCTGCGCCACCGTGCACGCCCTACGTCGAGGGCCGGCTGCGCCGTGCTCCTCACTCCTCCTCGCTTCGCCCTGCCACTGCACCCCTCCAGACTCTGCACTTGGACGT